TTGGAGGACTGCCCCCAGAGAGTGCAGCTTGGGGAGAATGTCTCGGCCCCGTGGAGCCTCAATTGTGGGGTCCCACAGGGGTCGATTATCTCCCCAATGCTGTTCAACATCTATATGAGGCCGCTGGGTGGGGTCATCAAGGGGTGTGGGGCCCAGTGTCACCAGTACGCTGATGACACTGAGCTCTACATCTCTTTTCCACCCACCGCAGGAAATGCCGTTCTGTCCCTCCAGCGCTGCCTGGGGACCGTACTGCAATGGATGCAGGAGAATGGGCTGAGGCTGAACCCGGACAAGATGGAGGTACTGAGGGTGGGTGCCCCCACAGCTAGGGGCTTGGGAAACTCCTTCATTTTGGGGGGGGGGTGATTCTTCCCACCAGGGATGGGGTCCGCAGCTTGGGGATCCACCTGGACCCGGCGCTCACTATGGAATCCCAGGTGGCATAGGTGGTCCGCGCCGCCTTTTTTCACCTCAGGCGGATAGCCCAGCTGCGGTCCTACCTTGATGTGGGGGTGCTCACTACCTTGGTGCATGCGCTTGTAATCTCGATATTAGACCACTGCAATGCGCTCTACGTGGGGCTACCTTTGAGGTTGACGCGGAAACTCCAAGTGGTGTAGAATGCGGCGGCCAGACTCCTTAGTGGAGTGAGAAAATTCCACCTTATTTCTCCTATTCTGGCCGCATTGCATTGGCTGCCCATTCGGTTCAGTGTCGACTTCAAAGTTTTGACGCTTACATATAAAGCCCTAAACGGTTTAGGGCCTCGATACTTGGCGGAACGCCTACTCCCACCAAGATCTACCCGTGTCACTCACGCGAGCCAGGAGGTGAGGCTGAGGAGCCTAACGCCGAGGGAGGCCCGGAAGGAAAAGACAAGAAATCGGGCCTTCTCGGCGGGGGCTCCTCACCTCTGGAACAACTTACCTCCTGAGATTCGCGGGGCTCCCTCGCTGAGTACCTTTAAGAAGCAATTAAAGACTTGGATGTTTCGGCAGGCCTTTCCATCACATAACTCATGACCCCCTTCTTTTCTCCCTTACCATTTTATGTTTTGGACTTTGTACATCGCAATGTAATGTTTTTATTACCTAGAATTGTCTATTTATATTTTTATTGTATTATTTGTGACTGTTAGCCGCCTAGAGTGGTCCTCGCTCGACCAGATAGGCGGGATATAAATAAAATAACTAATAATAATAATAATACTGGCATTGAGTGGGGCCAATGTGAGAGTGATAGTGGGAAACACAAAAGAAATTGTGGCCACCACATCTCAACATTAGGAGTTATACTGCTTTCCAGAGCATTTATGAAGCAAATGCTCATCAATTCCTTGGTCCCAGAACCCATGACACTTATATTGGAACAGACAGAAGTGTGGGATGCTGTAATTGCAGCTCTGTGTCAAAAAACCCACTGGTCAGATTACCTTACAGGAAAGTATTGATGAGTCTGTCACCAAATATGGTGTTATACTCCTCTTTAAGATGGGATTACAGTTGGAGCCTAACATTGACACAGTCTGGGCCATGTTGAAAAATAATGTTCAAGGGGCAGTAGATGTTTTGGTGATTTTTTGTGACTTGAGATAAATTATTGAGGATTGACAGCAAACAGCTAATTTTAGCACAGCTGTATGAAGCATTACTGTAGTGTCTTGACTTTTACAAAATGAATGCACCAGTGTATGATAACATTTGTGGCATTAGACTATAGAAACATGAAATGAATAATTCTGAAGTTATCAGTGAAAAACTATAAATTAAACTGACTGAAACTGCAGATTTGAATCTTGAATTTATTATTTCTTATCAGGAACTTAAGGACCAGACTGGGTCCAAAATTGTCATTGGCATAAAGTGAAATGTAATCATCCCTTAAATGTTGAATCTCTGACCCAAGCTTAAATAACTCAAAGTGCTGTAGTGCAGTGGTCCCCAACCTTTTTTAGACCCACGGACCGGCTGGAGAAGGCATGCACGAAGGAGCGCGCACACTCGTGCGCAGATGCAAACGGGCTGTGCGGGGGGGGACGTGCGGTGGTGGTGGTGGGGAGGTATGTCAGAGGTTGGGGACCTCTGCTGTAGTGAATACAGAAAAAGTAAAGGAATTATAAGGCAGAATTCTAAGTGCAATTTTGGGCAACTTCGGAATCAAGTGGGATGTAAAAAACTTCCTCTCACAACTGAAGTTGGAACATTGCTCTGCTGAAAAGAAGCAGTTTCTATGAGAAATCAAATTTCATTTCTCATTGGACAAAATGAGTGTATGACAGTGGAAAAGCTGCCTCCCCACATTTTTCTGTTGCTTTTTGCAACTGCAACCCACTGTTTTGCTGCATAATTTACCCATGGGAATTAGCAAGTGGCTTTTTAATCCTTATTAGAAATATCATATTATGGTAATCAAGTGTACCAAGAAAGCAGTAGTATATCTGGCCTCACTGATATTTTTGATCCTGTGCTATTTCATCTCTCCCTGATTACTGACTGATCATTGTATCCAGCTCAGTCATAAAGCACATTGTAACCCTAATATAAGGCTGAATACAGTCAGTGATATATATTGCACCACAAAATGTGTTTTCCAAATTTTTATTTATTTACAAGATTTTTTAGCCATGCCATTACCAATGGCCTCTGACACTTTTTGTGTGTTATACTAGTTACATCATTGTAATTTGGATCTTGACAAAAAAAATCAAGCAGCTTTTGGTATGTTCACCAAATTTAGGACTTGCATTGGTCAGAATTCTATTGCAGAATGATGGCAGTTGCAGTTTCTTGATAGTAAAGACTTTGACCACTCCTGAGGCTCCCCAGGTCTTCCCCTGGTCAGAAAGTTGCCTTGGAGGAAACAGAATAGTGTGCGACCAATGACAGCATCAATCTTTATAAGTACAAAGTCGCACAATAGTATTTCAGCCACTGTACTCTTCTGTGCTGAGCAAAAAGCATGCCTGTTCTGTAAGACAAAGGGAAGACACAGGGTTCTGTTTGAAGCCTTGCCTTGGGCCTGGTATGTCAAAATCTTGTGAGTGGGTGGTTAGCCTTGTTATGCTATGAATTTCAATATATTCTACATTGGCTGTTTCCTGATGTTTTATGTACAAGTCTTGCATGTAAAACATTTGCTGCCTTTTTGTTGTGAAGTAAAAAGAATTTAATCATCCATATGGATAAGCTCTATTTGCTATTTTATATTGCTGTCAAAGCCTCTACCTTGGCTAGAGCTGTCATCTGCAGTTTTTTTAAAAAGTCAATAAACCCCAATTCATTTCTGTAGAATTTGTGGAGGAAAAGATGCAGTAAAAGTAGAAATATTTCAGAATTATAACTTGCTGCTGCACCCCTTGTACTTCACCCAGCTACGGGGAGACACACACACACACACACACATAAACCCCAATTCATTTCTGTAGAATTTGTGGAGGAAAAGATGCAGTAAAAGTAGAAATATTTCAGAATTATAACTTGCTGCTGCACCCAGTTACGGGGACACACACACACACACACACAAACACACACACAGAGAGAGAGAGAGTGCTGCTCCATTTCCCATACCTCCCCTCTAGCCCTATCAGTGCTTCTTCTTATGTGCTACACATGGCGTGCAGTCATCATTGCAGGCCCACTACTGCCTTGGGCAGAAGGTGTAACATTGCCAGACCGATGGCAGACATCTGGTAGGAAGCTGTTGCAAACACTTTTTCTCTTGGCTGAATGGACCAATCCCCAACTTTCTCAGTCCTCTCTTGCAGCTTCAGAGGGATGGGATGGTAGCAGCGACAGTTGTAGAAGTAAGGAGAGAGTTAAGCAGGCTCATTTCAAATTTACATGGGTGACATAACTTGTACATTTGCAGATGCCACTGAATTAACAGTGAAATGAAAATTACATGTGAAGTTACTTTATACAAGATGCCAAAGATTAAACCTGGAATTTTCTTCATGAAAAATATATGTTACCACTGAACCATGGCCTTTTCTTTTAAATTGGTTTAATGCAAGCAAAAGTGTTTACTTCCCTTCAGAAAAGCTTTTCTGAAGTTATTGTGCTTGATTTTATTATCAATATTCAAATGACTTGCCTCTTCAGGAGCATCTTTTTCTGCTCTTAGACCATCATGAATTTTGTTTCACGTATAACTGGCTAAGTAAGCATTTTCATTTCTGCGTTTTCAACACAGTGACCAGAACCCTCTTGAGATTTTACTCCAAAGTATGTGAGATCATGTAAGTTTTAGCTGCAATTTGCTGCCACAACTTACGTCATGTCACCTATTCCAGACTGAAATCCCAACAGGATTCCGGCCAGTGACTCTGCAAGCTATCCTGCTGTGGTTGACTTTCCCTAGTGGATGTGGGTCTTCAGGGAGAAATACTTTCCTGTTGCATGTTGTGAGCTATGTGTGTTTTGATTTCTGCTTGAACAATAAAATTTAAATCTGTCCTCCCCTCCTCTCTAGTAAGCGACTCTCCCAACCAGCTGGAGGCCTTCTGGACTCTATCACTAATATCTTTGGGTAGGTTAGAATCCATTTGCCTCTTTTTACACCTCAGTTCAATATATGCAAATATTTCAGTGACACAAGCAAACAGTTGTCCTTATCTCAGCCTTTTTTTCTTAGCTTCTGCCTCTCCTTTTCTTTCGTTTTCAACTTCTGTTCCTTAAATCTGCTATGTGCTGACCTCTTATCTTTCCCTCCAGTCTGTCTGAGTCTCCCCTTTTGGGACATCACTCTTCTGATACTGCCAGGTGAAAATTCGCTTGAAATTATTTACACTTAATCTAGCATGTGAATGAGGGATGTTGAAGTAATGGCCTTGTTTGATGTCCTATCTGTAGCAGTGAAAAGATGTCCCTATCAAATGATCCACTTAGAGGTTAGGCTGTAACAGGTTAGAAAGCAGAACCTCTGAATATAGCATAGTATGGGTGACTGTGTTACATCCTAATTTCTTCCTGCATTCCACAAAGCATGCAGATTCTGACTATCACTAGTCTCTAAGTATGTGACTTTGCAACCTAGTAGAAATTTACTTTTTGTTCATGGGGAAATAGTTAGTACTGTTTAACATTTCTGCAGAAATGAGGTGCAGCAGTGACCCTCGAATCAATTAGTTGGATCATCACAACTATTATAATTTTAGATAAGCTTCTCTCTATGCCAATGCTAATCAAGACTTGCCATGCAATCTACAGACCTGCGTGAGAAACCAGTGGCAGAGGTTATAGAAGCCAGTGGAGCCCAAGCCATGCAAAATCATCTCTTTGGGTGTAGTCACCCTGCTGCTGTAATGGTTGAACTGGGCCCAGATCTCTTTGCCCCTCCCCTGCCCTTCTTATCCTGTTGTGTAGTCGGGATCCTCCCCTTACCTGTAATTAGGAGAACCAGCTGGTTCCCTCATGTGCTTAACTGTATTTTGGGTGTGTCATTTCTCAGGAGGCGCTCTTTGTCCTCATGTCCTGCCCCTCAAGATAATGTGGATGTACAACCAGGTGCAATCAAAGAGGTGCGAGTTCCTAACACTGCAGTGTGTGTCTTTGTCTCTGAGAGACATCGGCATTGAAAAGCAGAAATGATTACTAAATTGTATAATACTAATATTCTAGGTCAATCAGGTTTACTGTTGTTGTTCTTGCACTGCTGTAATCCATGCAATGTTTTGCTTGCATGCTGGCATCCACCACCTGTGCTTGCATCCATGGAGCTGCGGAAAGGAGCAAAGAAAAGCACATTGTGTGATCTGTGGTGGGGAAAAGGACAGAATCTTTCTGGTCATCGTCTTTCACTTGCCTTGCAAGGCCAACCTAAAGCGATGGCAACCTTCACACACATGTACAATGCCTTGTAGGTTAGAAGGTATCTTGCTGAGGTCAGTGATGACAAGAGAAAAGACTGATTGCACTTGTGAACTGTACACACCCATTGACTTCTTCAGCTCCCAGCAGTTTTTCTTCTTCTCTTTCCCTCATCTGAAGTCCAGTAATGCTGTGAGGTGTTTGAGGACTGCTGACATTATGTGGATAAAGTCAGTGTGTGTTGCCTTCAGTGAAAGGGGCTTGTCACTGACTGTCATCCAACAAAGCTAGTCAAGGAGCTGTCATTTCTGGGGTGTGCCTTATTGTGCATGATCTTTAGTTTTCAAGCTGAGACCTCTCTTTTTTTTAATTATTGTAAATGATGATGATCTTCATTTTGTCTTCAGTTTTGACATTCATTGCATTTTTATGTTTCTTAAACCTCAGTATGCTTCTGGTTTCCCTAAGCTTTTCTTAACACTATACAGATATAGAAAGATAAGACAGTCACAGGCTAGTAGGCACAACACAAGGGAAAAGGAATGGGGGGAAGAGGAAGGCAAGCCTTGGAATAGCAACTCCTCCTCTGGCCGATGGATGAGATCAGGTTGGTCTTGGTTCTGACTGGAAGGTGCAAAGCAGCTCAGTGCAGCTGCCTTTTCTTTGGAAAGAAAATGGAACTGTGCAGCTGATTGTGCAATCATACTGTGCATCCCTGTTGCCTGGGCATAATGCCCAATAAAGATATGCCTCTGTAACTTTGTTACCTGGCACCAAAGTGGATGACTGCCATTGACGGGTGGGGCTGGAAGGGACCTTGAGTGTCATCTGAATACTACCCCGGGCTGAATTAGAAAATCCACATCTAAGGGATCCCTGACAGATGGCCACCCAACATATTTAAAAATATCTGATGAAAAAGAGAGTCTACTACCATCCAAGATGTTGGACTGCTCTTACTCTCAGGAAATTCTTACTGGGTAACAGTAACAAAATCTAGCATTAGATTTAGTCTAAGCTTACTAAATGCAAAATGATAGATCTCTCGTATCTCAACATTTTTGTCCTTATGTCGGTAATCATATGCTGCAGTATGCTCTCACACACAGACTCCCTGCGCGCGCTGCTTTCCTGGTCCTGACCAATTATATGTTGCTTCAAAGTTACAGACTATGCTGTTCAAAACGTCTTTGTTTCACTGACTTTCTTAGAGAGAACTCTGGAAGATGGAAAACTTAACATATACATTAGTCAGCAAATTTTCTTTCTGTGCCTTTGGTAGTTACATGTGTTTAATTTCTTGTATTCAACATCAAACAGGAAATGAGTAGAACCATCAGAGTGATTAGAATTGATAATGTGGTTTATTTGTGGGGGGGGGCTACAGGCCAAAACTGAGGGAAACATGGGCTTCAGATGCCCTCCCAGGGCCATTTTTGAGGACCTCAGGTGTCACCAAGAGCCTCCCTATCCATCCCCAATTATTGTTTTTAGGAAAAAATGTGATTCCTTGCTTGTGGAAGCCTATGGAAGCAGTGGTTTTCAATATAAGGGCATTGAGGGGTTCCCTTAAGTTCTCCTCTCCCCCCCCCCCCCCCCACAACAGGCTGACACTTTGGATACTTCCTATTTAGTGGGGGCTGGATCACAAACTTGCCTGCAAGCTCCCTGAACTTGCCTACTCCTGCTCTAGCCTAAAACATTTGGACTGTGTCCTGATGTCACTTGTAACTGCTGTGTGTACCTTGGTTCATCTGTATTCCCCAGGATGCTCATGATGGGGAGGTGAATGCGGTGCAGTTCAGTCCTGGCTCTCGGTTACTGGCAACAGGCGGCTTGGACAGGAGAGTCAAACTCTGGGAAGTCTCTGGAGGTAAGTCCCTGAAAGGGAAGCAGTTCAGGGAAGTTAATGTGTGCCATGCTTTCAGACTCTGCCAAACAAAACAAATTTCCTCCAAAGACTATTTGCAGAATTGATTTCTTCAGAATGATTGTCTAGTTCTGCAGTTCTGGTGCAGAATTGATAAGCTTAGAGAGAACTAATGCAAAGCTGTAGCAAGAAGGTTGGGTTTGGATTGAAGATGAAAAGGAGATGATAATGTGACTATTCTAGATGTGTTTACTACTCAGAAAGGGAACATTCATAGCAGCAGTGGTTCTGCACATGTCCTGCATGCGCAAAATTTCAGGTTCAGTCTACAGTGTGTGCAGTCAAAAATATCTTGGGCAGCATGGCTGAGAAAAGCCTCTCTCTGCCAAAGACACTAGAAGGTGCTGCTGCCTTTCACTGTACAGTTCTGGGCCTGATGAACCAAAGGTCTGTCTTGATTGTACACTTCATACAGTCAAGAAAACTGGACTAACTTAATCCTGGAGGCACTTAAATTGTGAGACGAATTGTGTGTTTCGTATTGTTGCAGTATTATTCTTTGGCTGCATGAAGCAGACGTAGAGTTGTACTTCATCCTGTCTCTGAACTCCTGTTCCTTTTTGCACTGCAGACAACAGTGAATTGAAAGGCTCCTTGTCTGGCAGTAATGCGGGGATTACAAGCGTAGAGTTTGATAGTGCCGTGAGTATGCCTGTTCCTTTAAAAAGTTTTTTCCATCCCAGACATTTTACAGAGATTAAAACAAAATTAGCATCTCTTGTGGCAAAGCACTGTTTTATACTGACCTTTTCAGAAAATCCCTGATCTGGTAACATTTTCTGTCTGTATCATAATAATGCACACTAAGTATCAGCCAAGACAGGAAGTTGCTGTTTAATAGCTTTGAGACACTTGCCATTAATCATCCCCTGCCATCTCAAGCTAACAATGTTTTGCTGAGGTCAGTGATGAATAGTAAAAGGTCTGATGGGCTCAGTGGTTTTGCCTCCTTTACCGGTTCAACTCCCAGCAGTTTCTCTTCCATCAAGCTCTAGATGTGCTGTGACTGGGAGGTCATTTGCTGACAAGTGGTGATATGTTCAGCTTGTGCTACTCGAGAGTATTGGGTAGACACTGCTGAAATTGCTATCCAACATAACAGATAAAGGAGTTTGAGGTACTGGACTCCCATCTGGGTATATGATCTCAAAATTTTAGCTGAGACCTCATGTAAAGCAAAGCATCTGTATTTCTTTCTCTCCTCCTCTCCTCTTTCATCCTGCATCCTGTCCTTCCCTACCTTGCGAGTTCGGTCAGATTACAGGGAATGGCCAGAAGAAGGCATAATGCAGGAGGTCAAGAGTAAATGACGTGGGGGCAATAAGTGAAGAAAATGGAGAACAAATAATGAGAAACAGGGTAATAAATGAGAAGAGCGAGAACTAGGGCAGAGGGATGCAGGTGTAATGAACAGATGCGTCAGTTCTCACGCAGAAAGCGATACAAAGACTTAATGGTAAGAACGTTGGCTTTCTTCACACCAAGAAGAAGGGAATAAGAGAGAGGTCAGAGCAAAGGCAAAGATTTAGAGAGCAAAGGCAAAGATTTAGGATAAGCTACTAAAGAGAGATCAGGAAGGAGTGACAGAATTTGGCAGTGACTTGAATCAGGATTATTGCAGCAGGTCACAAGACAGCTGAAAGCAGTATTTCTTAGGTATGGAGGATTGTGGACATGATGGTAGTTCTTATTTTTAAAAAAATCTCTACAAGGAGAATCCATTAAAAGAGGGCTTTAAACATGTTTCCACAGGGTTCTTATTTATTAGCAGCTTCAAATGATTTTGCCAGCAGGATCTGGACTGTAGATGATCATCGGTTACGGGTATGTATCTTCACCCCAGTAGCACAACATGTGTGGCTACTTCTCAGTAATCACCCTCTAGCTATATATACACAAAAGTGTGTTAGAAAATGTTAACTGTTATTCTTTATAACTTTCTACTATTGGTTTCTGGGGAGGAGAATTGCCATACTAGTTTTTTTTTTCCAAGGGGGGAAAGTGTGAGGTGTGTACTAAAGATCCTAAATTTTATTAGCGTAAACATTCATGGCCTATAACCATCAAATTCATCAAGTAAGCTGTGTGCCAAAAAATTTTATGCTAGACAACACTGTGACAAACCCAGACCTACTGGGATATGTCACACAGTTACACTAAGCTGCCACCAACCATTCCCTATAAGAAGTCACACAGACCAGGGATGGATTTTTAAACAAATAAGGAATAAGGTTTATTTTAAATACACACAGAGATAATAAAATGATTAGGTGAATAAAATAAAGTAACGTGGCTTATTCTCACTCATACATACACACAGTTTGGTTCACACAGAACCTTTAACTTGAAGCACAGACCCTGAACCTATCAGTTCTGGCTAACCAACAGACACCTGAACCTATCAGGTTGGTACTCTGACACACAGTAGTACCCTGTCTGACACACAGACTCCCACAACAGCTTCTTCTTCCCAGCTGCTGCTTCGTCACATCCCAGTGTCTCTCAGTCTGTCTCTCAGTGTGTCTCTTAGTGTCTCTCAGTGTGTGTCCCTTCACCCACACACACTCCACATATATATACAGTACAGCCCCTCCTCCTGATGTCCCGCCTTCCACTCCCCATAGGATGGAACTTTCCCTCCAAACCCATGACAGACAGGTAACATCAGTGCTGTATGTAACAAACACTTCCTACTCTTTGAAGTGTCACAAGATTTTTTGTTAGTTTTGTACAACTGGACTACAAAAAATTCATTTACCTTATACATTAAATGAGCTCATGAAATCAAACAGATGGAGAAAGCGTGGTTGATAACTTGTGTTGCAGAATGAATGAAATTGGAAATTGAGATGTTAAATAGTTTACATAGGCTTGGAAACCAAGATGTTATCTAGTTTAACATGAAGGTTTTGAGGGCCTTCCTGAGAAATTAACATACTTTTGGAACTTTGTTTAAATGTATTTCTGTCTTAAAATACTTTGAGGGAGTACATTGGCTTTGGAAACAGCAAATATATATTAGCTGGGCAAATAAATCCAAAGGGCCTTTTGCTCCTTTTGTATTTTAGAAGTTGGTTTTGGTAAGCATGAAGAAATATATTCTTCTGTTGTTTTACCTAATCTGCTCCATTTTTGCCATGGTCCACGACAGCCTCACATGTAGATAGACCTAGGTCCAGGACTTGGCAACTGTACTTTAAATGTCTCTAGAAGAGGATGACAGATAGCGTTCAGGAGACACAGGAGGGTATGGCCTACTGGTCACTCAACAACTCTCACCATCACATGACCAACTGGAGCAGACTGGGGCCTCTGGTCAGTCAGTCACTCCCGGTATCAAATGGCTGACCAGCAGGGGTTTGGCCCTCCTCCTGCTCATGAAGGACACAGAGTCATAGTTTTGCTGCCCATTAACATCTGTGGAGGCTGTTTTCTGAAGAACGACAGCTCTCAGGAAGCAGTATAGCACCACCCACAACTTCATCTACACATTGTACATTTTGCAAAAAGGTATACTTGTATCACATGAGAGTCTGGGAGTCTTGAAAAGGGATAGAGCCCCTTCTCTCCACAGTTGCCTGCCCTTAAGTTTGAACTCTGTAGGTGTCTATACCTGTGCTGGACTCCTGAAGGATATGATTGAAGAACGAGCAACTGCTGCAAAGCCTGTTCTCTTACATGATGTCGGTTTCTTTCCAGCACACACTCACAGGGCATAGTGGAAAAGTCTTATCAGCTAAATTCCTCTTGGGCAATGCACGCATTGTGTCTGGGAGCCATGACAGAACCCTCAAGCTGTGGGACCTGCGCAGCAAAGTCTGTAAGGAAGCTGCTCACTTTTTTGTGTGTCTCCCCATGTATTGAATGGATAAGAACAGATGTACTATGGACTTAGTACATGCCAAAGTTTTCAAAACTGCTATTGTTTTTCATCCATTAAGATTAGGATGCCTATAAGAATCTAATCTAGTTTATTTGCGAAGGCTTTCACAGCCGGGATCTAATGGTTGTTGTGGATTTTTCAGGCTTTTTGGCCGTGTTCTGAAGGTTGTTCTTCCTAACGTTTCCCATCCCATTGCTTAGTGGAATAGGAAATGCTGCTGATACCCAAGGTCTCATTTTGGGTATTGGCAGTATCCCCCATTCCATTAAGTAATGCCAGTTGACGATGGCTTCAGAACTTGGAGAGCATCTTCCAATAACAAGGGAAAAAATGAAAGTTCTCAGATAGGTTTGACTTCATGATGCAATGCCTCTGTGCAGCCAATGTAGTAGCAGGAGGAAAATGGCTGGCCTACCTCCCTAAAGGGATTTGAGCTTATAACAGTCTCTTAAGAGCCCCAAACCCTGCAGAGATAACCAGAATGAAATATAATTTAAATACAGTGGTGCCCCGCATAGCGACGATAATCCATTCCAGATAAATCGTTGCTATCCGAAACAAAAAACCCCATAGGAACGCATTGAAACCCCTTCAATGCGTTCCTATGGGGATAAACTCCGCTATGCGGAAATCCTCCATACGGCCGGCATTTTCGCCGCCCGGTATGCGAGGGAAAGGGCGCGAAAATGCTGCGGGCGGCCATTTTTTCTTCCGCCGACCATTTTGGAACCGCCGATCAGCTGTTTCTAAATCATCGCAATGCGATATTTTCCCATTCAGAACATTGCAATGCGATCGCTTTTGCGATCGCAAAATCTGTATCGCTATGCAGATTCATCGTTAAACGGGGCACTCGTTATGCGAGGCACCACTGTATGTGTTTTGATTAGCTGAAAATGTGTTTGTTTCAGTGTTTCAGGGTTGGCAAATTTCAGGTTTCTGGGATAACTTTATTTTTTAAAAGATCAGTGTAATACAGATTCAGGAGCAAAATTGTGGGAAGACATATGTTAAGAATTAGGATTTCTCCAAGCACAGGGGTCAGCCTAGGAATTTACAAGCAGTACCAGAAGCAGCCTCAGAAGTCATTTGCAGAAAAACCTACTCCTAATTTTTCTCCTGAATGTTTTCTGAAAGTGGGAAGGAGCAGATTTTAGTCATCACTAATCTTAAACAATGGGAATCGGACATGTATCCCACGAAAAGCCTGTTGCAACAGCAGAAAAACCCTGTTGACCAAAAGGGCTGGGCTGTCCAGTGTTCCTAATTAATCTAAGTTTTGTGAACCTTACGAAACTGTTGCATTCCTGTTGTTTTTTCTGTTCTTCAGTAGAAGACATGGGTGCTGTTTTGCCAATCTGCTTGAAATTCTTGGAAGGAGATAAGAAGAATGAGATACTAGTTTGCTTTAGAAACTAGAGGGGAATGCAGTGGATACCCTATGCAGGCTGGCCTTCTTTCTGGGCCATTGTAGATTGAGTGAATCGAATTAGATAAGGCCCCCTGGGTTCCATGTTTGATTGTGATTTTGGGTAAGGGAAAGGTACATCCAGTGACCCTACTGTGACTTCATTTTTGAAGGTATAAAGACTGTGTTTGCAGGCTCCAGCTGCAATGATCTAGTGTGCACTGAGCAGTGTGTGATGAGTGGGCACTTTGACAAGAAAATTCGTTTTTGGGATATTCGGTAAGCTCCTTTTTAAAAAACTGAACATTTCATGAAAAGCACATGAAGGAATGGAAGCTTTGTTGTCTATATATTGTATTCGAAATTATATGCATAATTTTGAATTTTTTAGCTGGAAAGTTCAATTCTGTAGAAGTAGATGTCTAAAGATGGGTTAATTATTCATTATCATTCTTTGCAACCTATTCAGAAGGGAGAACTGGGCATAACTGATATAGGAAAAAGCATGGACACATTTTTAAGAGGAATCTACACTGATATCTAATGTCAGTCTGTGGTTGTTCCCAAATACATTTTCACTGATCGTTATGAACTTGCATGATCGTATCACCCAACCAAACAGCAGCATCTGCCACTTAGCAAATCCTGAACGTGAATCAAAATTCAGGCAAAGCTGTAAAAAACCTCCCTGAATAATCAGGGAACTAGACCTTTACAAGTTAAAATATAATTGGAGCTGGGGTGTGTGGCAAAATCATGCAGAGTCCATAAAGGTACGCTGCCTTTTACTTATTTGACAGGGAAGACAAACATCCCGGCTCCCACAGCTCATAGCGTGGTAAGTCACAACTAGAGTAGACCCACTGAATGAGTGGGGACCTGATGAGTCAGGTCCTCTACAAGTTCCATTGATTCAATGGGCTTACTCTAGGTGCACCTTACTACACTAAGCAAGAGGATTTCAGCCTCTGAGTAATGCTGTACTCAAAATAATAGATCAATTGCACAATTCTGGGGGACCTTAAAATTCAGGCTTTTTTGCAACTTGTGTCTGAGTGTTTTGTGCTTGGGTATAAAATAGAAAACACTTTTTAGAGCCATACCAAAACATAATGAGCTAGGAGAAATCTTTTGGAAAATAGATGAGATTTTTCTGGGAAGTCTCCAAGAAAGCTAGTAAATGCCAAACAATCTGAAATTTCAGATCAAGCTGAGATTAGTTTACCCAACATTATTTATTTACTGCAAATACAGTAGGACCCATTATATACAAAAGAATGGTCTCTGGCTCCCTCTAGTCGCCAGTACTGGTAACTCCATCACATAAATATTTATTTCTGGGATTTTTCTTTTAATACAGTATTTCTTTTAATACTGCATTTTTTATTTTTTCAGACCATGGATAAGTGAAACTGCTGATATCAATCCTGCAGATATGGAGGTCCTACCGTATTAATGTCAGAGACATGATTATTTTTCAGTGCTAGCTAAAATGCTCATTTAAAAAATATATGTCCCTTGGTACAGCGGAGAAACCAACAAATCTTCAGTATATAATGTTAACCCTTATACTTACTCCCACTCTTTCCAGCTAGATGACATTAATATATTGTTAGCAAGACTGATACATTTATATATCAGAGAAAATAGAATTACAAGCTTTTATGGAAATGCTAACTCATATCCTCTTCCCTTTGTAGAACTCAGTGTGTAGTACGGGAAATTGAATTGCTGGGTAGAATTACCGCTTTAGATCTGAATCCAGAGAGAACAGAACTCCTCACCTGTTCTCGAGATGATCTATTAAAGATTATTGATCTCAGAGTCAATAATGTCAGACAGACTTTTAGGTGAGTACAGTTCTAGAAATGAATTGTCGAGTTATATGTTTGCTGTTTGCACAAGTTCCTTATGTCAAAGAAAAAGAATGCAGGATTTGCCCTGTTGATGTCTGGCAAAGTAATACAGTATGCTAACCAGGTCCTAGAAAACTTCTAGTCCTAGAAAACATGTTTTAGTGATCAAAATTACACAGTTTGAGAAATGTGTAAAGAACATGATTTACAAAGTTTGATTGAAGTCACTGACTGATGTGAAAAAAAATTAAAGGCCATTTGGTCCTCATAATACAAATGCAAGAACAGGCGATTTATTTACTAGACTACTGAAAAAAATCAACCAAACAATTAGCTTGTGACATTAATCCATCTTCCTCAGACTGTGCACCAAGGTTTTGTGGCTAGTGCAGAAAAAAGTATACAGTGGTGCCCCGCATGACGACAATAATGCATTCCGTTAAAATTACTGTACAGCAAAATCGTCGTCATGCAAAAATAAAAACCCCATTGGAATGCATTGAAAACTGGTTAATGCATTCCAATGGGGGAAATACCTGCTTGTGCAGCAAAGATCCTCCATAGGGCGGCCATTTTGCGATCCCTGTCTTGGAGAAATAGGTCTGGAAAACAGCGGGGAGCCATTTTGCAAGCTGCCGATCAGCTGTTTTAAATCCTCACCTTGCGAACAATCGGTTCACGAAGCAGGGACCTAATCGTCGTTAAACAGAAAACCCCATAGGAAACATTGTTTTGCGATCGCAAAAAAGGCATCGTCAAGCAATTTTGTCGTTTAACGGGGGAAGCATCTAGCGGGGCACCACTGTATATGATAGTCCCAATAATTTATGGCTGCTAATTCTGCCTCAAGTTAACTTTAACTAAAGGTGAGTAAAATGATACATTTTAAACTCATCTTAAGAAGCAAATTTGACACAGCCATCTGCCATGAAATTTTCAGACTCTCATATTATTTTTTCTGCACATCCACAAAATTTTGGTGTACAGCCTGAGGGAGACAGGTTAACATCAAAAGCTAGCTATTTGTTTGATATAAATAACTAATGTGACTCAGGGGTTTTTTTCAGTGATTTAGATCATTATTCAAAATAAACATTTAAATGGTCTTGATTTAGATCAGCCCACTCTGATTTCTATTGCACGGTTTCAGTTTTGTCTTGTTTTCCTTCAGTGCCCAGGGGTTTAAATGTGGATCTGATTGGACCAGAGTTGTATTCAGGTAAGACGCTAAACAAGCAGATCTAAAGGGAACTTGAGAGGGGAAAGTGATAATTTCTCCCTTTATTTCCTTGCAAGGCTGTGACTAATTTTTGCTCAAAAGAATGTCGCATTTTCTTATTAAGTAACTAGACGTCAACAAGAGGCGGATGAAATTTTTCTGTATAGGATGCCTAGAGGTATTTGGCAGAGTCCACGCAGCAAAAGAGCTGATCAGTAGATACTCGTTAACAAAAGTGAAAGGGAGAGAAGGACTTTGTACTCAGTTTCTTCATTAGATAAGGGAATTCCTAGAAGCTCTGACTACAACAAGATTATGCTTGCAATGATTAGCGAGAAGGGATTTGAAATGGAGTGCTCCATTACAACCTTAGATGCACTTTTACGTTTTCCTGCAAGAACAGTCATTCACAGAGCAGCTATGTAAATAATTTGTCTGAGAAAGTGGATTGTAATCCACAGAAACTCAAACTGAAACAAATATGTTAGTCTTTAAGGTGCCACCATACTTCTATTTTTGTTTCTATCTTTTAGTTGCACATGCTGAAACAGTAACAAAGCTACCTTTTTCAAAACAGCCAAAGTGGCGGGAAACGTTTAGAATTAATACCCTCACCAACTCTGCATTGAACTGTAGCTGAATATACTCTTCAAAGGAGCAAATCTCCACTATTCTGTAGTAGCTTCATTTTCTGAGGTTACCTCATTCCACATTCAGGAGGGTAACTGTTCTAACATTGACATATTGCAGGTCAATGTTTTTGAAATAGCATAAATTTACAGTGGTGCCTCGCACAACGAGCGCCCCGTAGAGCGATAAATTCGCTCTACGAGGATGTTTTTTCGATCGCTAATGCGATCATAGAGCGATGGCCTCTATGGCCGAAAATCGCACAGCGAAGGTCAGTAAGCGTTTCGCTTACCAACCTTCGCTTTGCGCCCCGCCGATCAGCTGTTCGGCGGGTCCAAAATGGCCGCCAGAAGCCTCAAAATGGCCGCCGGAAGCCCCAAAATGGCCGCGTGCAGCGTTTTCGCGCCCTCGTTAAGTGAGAGGAGGGTGCGAAAATGGCTGCCGGCCATTGGAAAAGCATTGCTGTACGGTGAGTAAAGCTGCTATTGGAACGCATTAAACTAAGTTTAATGCGTTCCAATGGCTTTTTCCTTCCCGTACAGCGATGCTTTCACACAGCGAGGGTTAATCCAGAACGGATTAACCTCGCTGTGCGAGGCACCACTGTATTATGAATTATTTGTAACTCAGTGGTCTTACTGTTTAATATTCAATCTGGAAAATTGGTATCTTGTTGGCTTTCATTTGTTGCATGGAAATTATTATTATCTCTCTTTGGATTTGGACCTAATTCTCTTCCATATCTGTCAGAAACAATCGCTTTAGCTTTCTGTGCTGAATCTCAGCTTGAAACAAAAAGCTTCAGACTTATTTCTGTGCTGTACACTTTTCTGGGAGGTTTTGATTAGATTTACCTAGTGATACAACATAACGAGCCTACTCTCAGTATACTACTCATCTGTACAAACAATAGACCTCAAAGTAAAACACATCTTTTTTTTCTCTCTTCCTTGCACCAAACCTATACTTTTTCAGCCCCGATGGAAACTATGTGGCAGCTGGCTCAGCAGAAGGATCACTCTATATTTGGAATGTGCTCACTGGAAAAGTGGAAAGGGTGCTTTCCAAACAGCACAGGTAAGGCAAGGGGATGCTATTGAACTGTGTGGTGGAGGGAAATGACCAATAAGCTGAATCTATATGCTTCTTCAGTGATCACATACATTGATTTACTCAGTATATTCCTAGCTTGCATCATGATCCCTGAATAAACATGTGCACCTCAAATAAACAGCAATGCATGCCAGTAGGGGAAATGTTTAAATAAATTGATTTCATCCTTTGTTTCAGTAACTCCATCAATGCTGTAGCATGGTCACCCTCTGGAGCCCATGTGGTCAGTGTGGACAAAGGAAACAAGGCTGTGCTGTGGTCTGAATTTTGACTGAATTATCCAAAAACCAGCATGCCAAAAACCTGCATGGGAGGGTAATGGTCTGTGTCCATCCGGACAAGGCAGAAGTTGCAAGTCTGGCTCCAGTCAGTGATCTTTTGCTAAGTGTACAAGCGGCACTCTGGGAAAGAATCTCCTGATGTATCAGCCATGGAAGAAAAGCCCATCCCATCTAAAGTGCATTGCAAGCATTCAGCCTGGCAAAGGATTGGCCACATTGGTGGAGATCCAGTCATTTTTAAGATGTGCCATCTGTGCACTGGAAAGAGTTTCCTCACCAGACAGCTGTGCCAAATGGTTCCTGGAACAGTTCCTACAACACTTCAAGCTTTTGAGTGCTCTAGCAAAGTTCCTCTATGTCTTGAGTTTATGCATGAACCTGTGTCCTCTATTATGGGCTAGCTAAGATGAGAGGTGAAGGATTGTTAAACATAGGAAGGGGTGGGATCTTGACTGCAGTTGTACTGAAAGAAGCCAATAAATTTGGCAGTTGTGTCCGCAGAGCTACTAGCACTTAAATAAATCACAGTTCCCTGTATCAGCTTAACTTATATTAGAAAAAGATTTTCAGGCCTGTATCCTGCAGAGGCTTTCTGCCTGGTTTAGATGGAGAGTGGTAGAGAGCATTTTGATTTGACCCAGTTTGTCCTGGGTTTTAATTACGGGATCGAGCAAGAAGTGCTGCTGCTGCTGCGATGAAGAATGTATGACTTCAGCACCAATACCAAATATACGGTTACTTCTGCAGCCCAACCGTCCTTCTGTACTGAAGCCTCTTGTGCACAGAGGAGTCAGAGGATGATAGAGACCTGAATGTAAATGTCCTGGTGCTGGCAAATCCAGATCACTTGCCTCTGAAAAATGTGCAATATTATTTCTGTGTTGGAGCTTTCCCTTTGCCATGGGCCAGGCTTGTTGGCCTGTGTCCCTTGGCACATAAATGCACAATATAATTGAGGATTACTAACTTGTGGCATTGAACGTTCATCCAGCCAAATACTTTTCCACATCTAGTGGGCTGTGAGACAAGCCACCAGCATTTAATTGCCTTTTAATTTGCACTTTAATTTTGCTTCCTTCCTAAGCTTGCTCTGTCAGGAAGTGTTTATATTGAAGGGCAGAGGTGAGCAGAATTTCTTGTGTCCGGGGCTTTAAGATGAAACCCCTTCATTTTGATAACTTCTGCAGAGAAAAATAGGAAGTACACAGGACAAACATTATTTATTGTATTAATCCGCCCACTAGTACTTGACTTATAAATAAACCTGTGTCCTGCTTCTAAATTGACACTGTTCTCCTCTTCTTCTTTTACTGTGGGTCTGCCAGGGAACATGGAGAGAGAAAGGATGGAGAGGACTGCATTCTCGGCCAAGCAGTTATGTCATGGGATATAAATTGTTAGAAGGGAGACAGGTTTGTGAGGAGGGAATAGGTTGGAGGCTCTTTAGGAGATGCTGGTGGACTATGCTTGCTAATGCATTCTGCTTCTTCCTATGAGCCACAAAAAGGGGAAGGCAAGAGAAAGAGAGCTTTTTAATTATTTCTTAATGTGCATAATAGCCTAGCTCAGCATTGCACTAGGGAATCTGCTTGTGAGGACAATGGAAGGTCAAGTGGGTTCTTCATATACCAGGAAGGGGCGGTGCTGGATAGAGCTTATGGGGCTTAAGTTATTTTCAATGCACTCTACAGCGTTTTCTTTCTCTCTCCAATATGCTCAGCATGGCTCACAATAGTCTTAACATTTTTTCCTATTTGATTTGTCTTGCTTCTTTCTAATGCTCTGTACAAAAACAGTGTTTAATAATTAAAATAAAGTGGCATCAAAAATTTCAAGGTTATTTAAAAGAACAATTGCACACCACAAAAAAGACAGAAATAATGTGTCCATGCATCTGGAACATTTTCCCTTGATTCATACTATCCAAACCTCAATTCCTGCCTGGCTGATATAAAAATAGCTCCTCTTTGTTTGCTGTAGTTTTATTACCTCTGCATCATTCCCGTGTTTACTGGGGGAATAACAGGTGCCATCATAAATGTCCCTGATGGGTTACATCCTCCCTTTTCAAGGTCTGTCAAGAAGGTAATATCCAGAGCTAAACACACTTTGCTGAAGAAAAGTTGCAGAGTTGTGACTGTAAGCCAGATAACTGGAATCTGCTGCTTGTCTCCTTGTTATAGTTGTTCTATATACGACAGATACCAGGACTGAAAAATGATAAATCTGGTAGGCATGAACACTCTTCAGACTGAGGATGAGGTTGAGAAATAGGGCATAGTGAATTCTGGTATATGACTGCCATCTGGGTCATTAGCGTAGAAATATCCTCTGTCCTACATTGGCATAAAACTCAGAACTGCTTGAGGACTTTGGCTAAGAATGCCAGTTACCAATGTGATTTTCACATTTGGTTGTTGCACAAAGCTACATCTGCGAAACAGGAAGAAGTGTAACTTTTTTCCTAGAGTAAAATTAGCCACCTCAAATCATGAGTGAATTTAGCTGCTAAATAGTGCTGTGGGAACTGAAAAAAATGTATAGTGGGAGAAATCAAATCAGTTGGGGGTAAAGAGCATACGTGTTGGAACATTAGTAACATGTCCTGAACTTTCTAGTCACCTTAATTAAATACAAGAATCACAGTATTGTCCTGTCTTAAACACTGTACAGATAACCTCTGGGAATTAAAACTCTTGAAATTTTTCCTGTGTTTCATTACTCTGCACTACTACTACAGTACTAATAAAACTGCACTGAATCCTTTATAGATAATTGTACGTTTGGCTGTTATGTGGTAAAAATGTTTCAGCATTTGCGTATCCTGGCTAAGGAGGAATCTGTCCTGTGCGTTGCTGATATCCAGAGAGATATAGCAAATGCCCAAGATGGCTTTTGAGCTGAATCAGTGGAATGAAGGATTACCTAAGGATTATGCCTAGTTTCCCAAGGAGGAGAACAGTGCAGGTCTTATATAACACATGATGCAGGGTTATTGCTGAATTATACCAGAACAGTAAGAGTCCTTTTAATCAAACAGAGTCCCAGTGTACCAGATTCATGGATACACTTCCCACATACTCACTAAAGATCATAGAATCATGAAGGGGTCCGTAAGGCCATCGAGTCCAACCTTCCACTCAGTGCAGGAATACCAATGTGCGGGTCTTACTATTTAAAAGTGAAAATAGGTGATAGTTACCATCACTGGGGATTCTCTGTTACAGTTCAGCCTTAGCATGGCTCCATTTTAAATCCTATTAAAAATTATCAAAGCCTGGAATGGAAGTCTCAGGACGATGCCAAATTTCTTCCTTCTATTGAGAATTCTATTGTTGGTTCAAATCAGGAGTTCTCATTAAATGGAATTGCAAAATCAGCTGTATATATAGAGTTACAAGATCATCAGCCTATGTTCCTTGGAAATGTCATGGCCATTATGATACACAGGTCTTCTAAATTAAGACAAAAGTAATACAAAGATAACCCTCTTGTATATACTGATTGTAAATACTACTTGTGCTTCTAAAAACTGATTGAAATATGAGCAGATTAGTTTATGTTTTATTAAAAATTACCATCTCCTTTAGCAACAAACATTTACTGATTTGTTGACAATTGGTTTACACCGAATATCTTAGACTGAATTGTATTTTCAATGCTTTTGTTTCTCAGAATGTTTCACTGCCTTAAGCAGTCATGAAGCATCAGAAATTACATGTTCTGCAGATTCCTCCTTTATCGAATTTATCGAACTGATAAGATGCAAAGTGAAGAGATGAACACGGGGATCATATTGGAAAGATGCATGCCTCCTAACTCCAAGTGCATGCTAACACATGCACCCACAGCCACCCACAGAGACATTAGTTAGTTAATTAACTTTGACAATTTAAAACAAGGCATTTTCAATTAAACACATGATTTTCTTAGAAAATTCAATAAACATGCATCCAAAGACATCATGTCTCCAACTTCTTCACTTACTTGGATTTCTGTTTTTTGCGTGGTTTTTTTTTAAAAAAAAATATTTATATCACCCCATACCTTGACTGCATTACATGATAGCACCTTGTTTTGTTAGCTACAAATTACTCCATTGGTGGGGACATGGGGACATCCTTTTGCTTCTTAACTTTAGTGTTTACCCTAAGTAAACACTAAAGAATAATCCCGCCAGTCCCTCTGCTCCCTATCTAATTTACCACTAGTGGAGTGGAAGAACTGGAATACAACACAGGATTTGATACTGCCAATATCTACAAACTGGAGATTTGCAGGACAGTCCTATCCACAGTTACATAATCTTTACTAATCCAGTTTAATTGATCTGTATTTGGAGGAATGAAGTCTTTTATTTAATGAGCTTAGTCCCTGATAAACTATAACCTCTCCTTAGAGAATCAGTCAATCACTTCTTTTGTTTACTTGGAATGCAGGTTAAGGTACACGAATGCATCAAAGTGGCTAGGTTTGGAGGGAGGATCTGTGGTTGAGATTTATTTGTTTTGGGGGAGTATAGCTTCAGCCATAACATTTTGCTCTAAACCAAGTTTTCTCTGGGTACATATTTGAGAATTTCCCTGCTTTTGGGCACAGAAAGTAGGTCTTCACTATAAGATCAAAGATATAAACTCAGATCAAACAAGAGAATCATGAAGTCTCAGGTTCATTATATAAATTATATAAATCAGACAATCAGTTCCAACTTTTAACTGAATTTCAAAGCAAACTACACCACTGACAAAGGAGGGGGGTTGCTGTTTGAATCAGCCTCTTTAAAAAAGCGGTTACTGTATAGCAGTGGTTCTTAACCTTTTTGAAAGAAACGCCCCCTTGAGCCATTGAGGAAGTTATCATCGCCCCCCTGCCCGCGGTGATGATATTTATTTATTTATTTATTTAAGACACTTAAATCCAATGACCCCTGAAAACAAAATTAAATTCCAAGAAAATGAAATGCCCCCCCCCAAAAGTAACATTTAATGATTTAGTTGCAAGTGAATTTTAAGACACAAAAAGAAATATAAAAAGGGCATAAAAACAAATGCAGGAACTAAAAATTTCAAGACAAAAAGTCTGAAACTAAATTAAAATTGGAGGAAAATATATATTCAGGCACACTGTAAAAAGGCTGCAGCCATCTTCACAGGTTTGGCTTGCTCCAGTGCCCCCACGCCGCCCCTTTTCGTTCTACTGCCCCCCTGAAAAATGAAATTGCCCCCTGGGGGGCATTATCGCCCACGTTAAGAACCACTGCTGTATAGTATAAAATGTTACTCATAATTTTTCTCCTATGGAGTGTGAATGTGCTGCTCAAAGCTTTCCTCAGGAAAACATTCCAGCATCAGATGTGTTCCATCAAAAGCTGATCTTAGCAAGAGAGTGACTAGAAAACTAGGGGTTTTTTTACCCTATAATTCATTGTAGGAATTTTTGCTGCAAGTGATCCACATGGACACATGTAAAATGAGTGCATTCTTTAAGAGATGCTGTAACTATTACAAAATCAGTACACAAACAGTGGCTTACCTTTAGCTCATTAGTTGGCTGGGGTGATCTTCAGCCCTAGTAAGGAGGGGATGGAGAAAGAGATTTAGAATAAAGCCGCTTTCCATAACCTTGCTAAATCTTCTGTTGTTGTCTTTGCGCTTTGTGAAATCGGGAGTTTGACATTGTAGAACTTAGGTCCCTTAGATAATACCCACCATTGCTGATCTAGCTAGTTTCCAATCTCATAATCCAGGTATAATATTCTGACTCTGGATTCGTGGTTGGAAACTTGGCCCCTAAGTATCAAAATCTCATTTTTAGATCCACTACAAATTGCCATCCTAGCTCCTAAAGGACTAGTAGTTCTCTTTGCAGAAGAAAAGAAAATCATTGTCTGGACTATGCAGCTCTCCACATTGGGTTAGACCTGGTCTTTGCTACTCCTGGAACATTCTCTACCTATCTACTGGTCAGACATTTTGAACACTGCCAGGTATTTATTTTTACTGCAAATTTGGCCTTTTCATACAGCATTTCTGAATGCATCTGTTATGGTTAAACCATCATTGATTTTATTGGGAAATAGCTTTTAAGTACATGTCTAGGGTTGCTGTGTAAATGTCTGATTGGTCTGGTAGCCCAATACGTACTAGTACTATACTCTTAAACCTATTTATCTGAAACTAAACCCCACTGAGTAGAATGGAACTTATTTCAAAGGAAATATGCATAGAATTGCATAGTAGGAAATGCGATATCAACAATATTACTCCTACTTTGGGAGAGGAAAATCCAATATGGATGGAAAGTTTTACAAATTTACTAATGATTCACTATTGAACTGGATGACCCAGAATAGAAGATGGTATGGAAGCTGCATTTCTTACAGGTAATGTATGCTCTGAATTGTTGTATAGTAGTTACTGAAAGCTGCAGAAAAACAATATTGACTATTCTCAAAGATTTCTAGTGCATCTGTATTTTCTAATCAATTTTTATTGTATTGTTTCAAAAACATGTATAAATTGGTTATGGGTTACTTTTTTTTTTTTAATTGTCCACGTATCGTCGTAAGGTTTTGGGCTATTTTATTGTTACAGATGCAAAAATAAAACTGGTATACTATTCAATTTTTCTGAACTTATCAATTAAATTGCTATAGTAAAATTGGTTATTGTATGCCCGGAATTTTTGTGACCAAGTTTTTCCATTCCTTTTTATACATTTTAAACTTGGTTTGGGAACATGAATCAAAGTTGGGAAGTATACAGGGCACATTTGTGTTTGTTTGTTTGTTTGTTTGTTTGTTTGTTTGTTTGTTTGTTTGTTCTCCAACTTTCTCCTTAAAAAGCACTCAAGACCACTCTGAGAAATGATAAACCAAAGCAATGTACTAAAAACATAGTCAAAGCAGCAATACATAACCACCCATTTAAAAATCCCACTCAGGCAGCCAATCACTGAGCGAAAGCTTGCCTGAAGAGCAAGGTCTTTGCCTGCTTGCAGAAGGACAGAAAAGATGGGGCCAGTCTGACCTTTTGTGGAAGGAATTTCCAAAGTCTGGGAGTAGCATCAGAGAATGCCTTCTCCTGTGTCCTCACCAAACACACATGTGAAGGTGGTGGGACTAAGAGACATCCTGATGATTTTAACACACAAGGAGGCTCATCGAGAGGTGGTCTCTGAGATAGCTTGCACCCAAGCCATTCAGGGCTTTATAGGTTAGAACCAGCACTTTTAATTGTGCCCGGAAACAGATTGGCAGCCAGCGGAGCTGCTGTTACAGGGAGGTTATGTAATCCCTGTAACCAGCTCCAGTCAGCAATCTGGCTGTACCATTTTGGACCTGCTGAAATTTCCTGACACTTTCCATAGGCAATCCCGTGGAGAGCATGTGACAGTATTCCAGCTGGTATGTAACTAAGGTTATGTGTCACTGTGGCTAGATTAGACCTCTCCAGGAATGGGTGCAGCTGGTGCACTAGTTTTAATTGTGAAAAAATGCACTCCTGGCCACCACTGAAACCTGGACATCCAGGCAAGCCCAGGAGCACCCCCCAAGCTATGCACCTGTGTTTTCAGAGAGTGTGTAATCTCCTCCAGCACAGGCTGCACCCCTGTTCCCTTTCAACATAGGAGACAAAACAGAAACCTGAGGGACCCCACAGGCGTCAGCCAGAGTGTCGAGCAGGAATCCCCCAGCACCACTTTGTTACTGTGAAGCAGTGTCTCCAAATCCCATCCCAGAGAGATGGGCCAGAAGGATATTTGTCCAATGCAAGTAAGCCTGAACAACTTAAACTGAAGCGTGTTTCCAATGGATTTCTCAAATCAGTGGGATTCAGTTAGAAGCAATATCTTTAGTACTAAGAGATCTTGGTCGTAATGTCTTCCCTACACTCAGATTTCATTAAATCAGTTTGAATTAGCAGCAGTGTGTGCATCTCACTATCTGTGGCTGTGCTCATCACAATGGACAGAAAAGATTCACAGTCAGCTCTAGCCCATGCAGTAATGCCCTGAAAAGCAGTTTCACTATGATTTGGTCAATTAGAGCTGTTAAAAAAAGATGCCTGCACAAAACTGCAGACAAGTTGAGAAAATGGTGGGGAAGCAATTTCAGATCAACCTCTGTGCTTTTTTCTAGATGAAAATGTTGATATTAAATATGGAGCAGCTTGTTAGGAGGCACAGGGACTGTAACCAAAGGCACTTAGTGGGAAGCTGGTACGGGGTAGCTTGTCTGCTGGCGGTTAGACGTTCTCATGCCACTGATCTCCATCTATTCTCTGCCTGCATTTGTGTCAATTAGCCAAAGATTACAACACCCCTGAAATTGCCAGTGACCTGTCCCCCAAAAGAAAGTAAAAAGCTGGGTAGATCTCCTATATACACGCAATCAATGTATAAAAATATCCCGAACTCTTTGTTTTGGAAATATATCCAGATGTAGTCTGCAAAAAATGCTGCGTTGCTTCTTGTGATGTTTACTTAGCCAATCTCACCAATATGGTTTATGACAGTCACAAGTGGAAATTTACTACCTCATTCCAGTTGATGTATCAAATTTAGTTAGGTATCACTTTTAATTAAAAGCTGTCTAAGAGCTGTTCCAGATACGGTGCTTGAAAAGGAAGAATGGTAGCACAAGGGACAGAGTGGCCAGATCTTAAGGGCCTGAGTCAACTCTTATGGAATTGGAAGGCTTCTGTAGGCAAGGAGTTAAGTCTCATGGAAAGCAGCACTGGAAGAGGAGATAATCTGAGAATTGTCTATATATTGTCTATATATATATATATATATGTTAACTTTAAATCCTGAGCACCCAATTTTACCCATTTCTAACTTTCACGAGGGCTAACCAGCTCAGTGCAAAGGTGATCATGTACTACTCCAAATATATTATGGGCCCAAATGCATGCAACTCTTGCCTTTCTCACCAACCTTCCCTCTTGATAGGTGGAGCAAGGCAGGTAGTGGAGCACCAGCACCCTAATTCATGAGCCTTCTTATTGTACATTTTTAACGCAGTATCTCAAGAATGTAATACACATTCTCTCTCTCTCTCTTCCCCCCCATCCCAATCCTTGCCTATCCGGACCAATGAGATATCTTAAGGTTCTATCCTTTAAATCATTTGTTCACCTGTTGGCCTCAAGTTTTGGTCCTAAGGTCCAAGAATGGGAAGCTGCTGAGCTAGTAATTCTAGCTATTGCTCAACCATTTTTGATACCATTGTTCAAGAAAAATCTGCCACTGTGGGAAATCACTGTTTAGCCAAAGACACTAGCAAAGCTGTCAACCTCAGTTCCTGCAAAAGCAGCAATTCTTGGCTCCCATGTTCTTAATAACCTTGCAGGGATGGCATAAATTATTTTGTTTTGGGGGGAAGGGGGGAATCCCCCTACCATCAAAATGCAGAGACTCTATTTGCAATTAAATCTTAAAGAGTAGCAATGAAGAAGCACCCTCTTATCTCACCTGAGAGCAGTAGGCTAGTTTAGGAGATTCAGGACAGGACATGTGAGACACACTGCTTCGTTGTACAGTATCTTACTGCCACCATTTTGTACATCTCCCCAGGTACTGCTTTAGGCAACTGCCTCCCACCACAACAGAGCCACCTCTGTTCCCTTGTGCAGAGACAGCAGCAGCAGGAATATCCTGAGGCACCTATTAAGTGGTGCCTGCAGCATCACTGCACAGAGTAATATGTTCCTCAAAAGCTGTTTGCTGTTCTTCTAAATTATACATGTGCTACTCTTGGCATATATAGAAGATGTCAGTTGCCCCTTATGATGGAGGCAGTGGTTAATTTGCAGCAGTGCATTTTCCTCTTGCAGTACAGTGGTGCCTTGCTAGATGATGATAACACGTTCCACTGAAATCGCTGTTTAGCGAAATAATTGTCTAGCGAAAAGCATTTCCCTATTGGAATGCATTGAAACCTGTTTAATGCGTTCCAGTGGGGAAGAATCGTGGTTGTCTAGCAAAGATCGCCCATAGGAAAGCCACTTTGCAAACCGCCGATCAGCTGTAAAAATCACTATCTTGCAAAAAATGGTCTGCAAGGTCAGAAGACCAGTAGTTGTAAGATCGAATCCACGTGACAGAGTGAGCTCCCATCACTTGTCCCAGCTCCTTGCCAACCTAGCAGTTCGAAAGCATGTAAATGTGAGTAGATAAATAGGTACCACCTTGGTGGGAAGGTAACAGTGTTCCTTGTCTAGTCCTGCTGGCCAGGTGACCACGGAAACTGTCTTCGGACAAAACGCTTGCTCTATGGCTTGGAAACGTAGATGAGCACCACCCCCTAGAGTCGGACACAACTGGACTAAATGTCAAGGGCAACCTTTACCTACTAGGGAAAGGCAACTCAAGCCCTTAGATAACTCTGGGCTATGACTACAGAAGGACAGAAGTAAAAAGCTCTAGAAAAATCAGCACTGTGTCGTGAATCCGGGAAATATTAAGGTTTGTATCTAGATGAAGAAGACTGAATCAAAGATTCACAAGTACTGATCAAATCTCACTTAGTATATACTAGATTCCTTTGATCTGGAAACAGTGGGGTTACTCTCTGGTGTTCCATGAAAGTTTACTAATGTTTTCATTGTTTTCATATGTCCTAAAAATTTGTTGTCTAACTGCTGAACAGTCATTAATCTATCTATATAGGACAGTTTCATTATCACACTCCTACAGACATGAGCTCTCCCAAGGCTCCAAAGGTGATCTCTCTCTCGGAAATTTCAGTGAAGAATGTTGTGCCCACCCAAAGTTGTGTTATCTACAAGAAGACCTCCCATGACAAAGCGGTAAGTGCCCAGCACAACAATTATTACAGATGAGAGCCAGTCCGTTGCCACTCATTAGGCTTGTCTACACTGTAGCGCTGTCCATGTTCATTCTGGGATCACTCTGGCTCATTATGGTATGCAGTAAAAAGTTCAAGTAGATGGACAATTTTTAAATTGTTAACTTATTTTCATTCATGATATCACTGATCTTGGCCTCAGTTTGATTAAGTGAAATAAATAAATGCATGTGTCTTTCCCAAAGCTGCACTTCTATTTGTTGATATTGGCTACAGTGGTATCAGTCCTTAAGTTATTGGATGATAGCCGTTAACAGTCATGATTTCGTCCATCTTATAGGTCACCATCTACTTAGGGAAGCGAGATTACATTGACCATGTAGACACTGTGGAACCTGTGGGTAAGTTCAAGTTGACTACAGTTTTTTTCTTTGCACTTTTTACTGTGCTTAAGTACTGTATTCTGTATCTTAGAGTGATTCATTTTTGCCCTCTCACTCTAGATGGTGTGGTATTGGTGGACCCTGATATTGTCAAGAAGAAAAAAGGTCAGATAATTTAAATTATTTTAAAATCAAAGGGTAATGTCTAAAGTATTTGTGAGCACTATCGGCTCCACACTGGAGGTGCTGACGGCCACTGGGTTCCCTGGTAATCATTCCATGGGCCTCATGTTGCAAGAATAACAAGTAACAGTCTTTATTTGAACAAACTTAGAGGTGGATACAGAAGCTGTGGCTTTAACTATCTCCTCGAGGTTTGTGCAGGGTTAAGTTTCCTGCACTAACCTTCTTAGGTGGTTTCCTTTCAAGTGAGGCCTCAGTTAATATCACTGGAAACCTTTAGAGTCCCAACCTGGAGAAGTGGGAGAGAAGGATGAATCCAGATTCTTTTAATGATAGTCTTTTTTTAATGTTTTAATTAAAACAGTCCTTTTAATGACAGTTGGTGCAGCCAGGTACCTGGGTGAGCACCTCTGCTCCTCTCAAAGCTTTATCTGCCTCTCACGTTTGCACTACCAGTGCCACAACTGTGCTGGAGTGGGTGTTGCTACTCTCATCCACCAGCTCAGACACTGAAGTCTTCTTGGTGTTAAGGTCAGTTAGAGGAGTGGCAATGGCTACAAAGTGGGGAATAAATTGTTGGTAATAGCTGGTTAACCCTAAACATTATTGGATGTGTTTATTAATCTGGGATCAGGGGGAAGATGACACTTTGGCCACCTTCTTAGTCATATCTTGAGAAAAGATTGGAAAGCAAGAGATATAGGAGAAATGCAGGAACCAGTACAGTACTGGGATTAAATTATTTTAAAATGTGGGCAAAGGAGCATTCATTTTGAGATAAATTGGCAAATTGCATTCACTAAGGGTGGGACCACAGAGAACAGATGGACCCACCTTCTTCCAACTGGCTTTTTTCCAACGGAGATTGGCATCATCTATCTATCTTTTGTTGTCTGACTCTAAACACACCCTCCATTGACAAGTGGTCACAGTCTGCTTTCTGAGCAGAGATATTCCATATAAGTACATGATCCCTATAGCTTGTCGAGCACAGTCTTTAACAACTTGCCTATCTTTTCCCCAGTGTATGTGATGCTCACTTGTGCTTTTCGTTATGGACAAGAAGATATCGATATAATAGGGCTGACCTTTCGAAAGGACCTGTATGTTTGTAGGGTACAGGTGTACCCTGCACTAGAAAAACAAGGACCACTATCCAGTTTGCAGGAATGTCTAATTAATAAACTTGGGGGAAATGCCTATCCCTTCTTGTTAACTGTGAGTACTTGGCATTGCTCTTTCTATATAGATTTGGCTCTTCACTTCACAGTTTGATACTGAGCAGCATAGAAAATGTTTTAATTTTTGCTTCAACTCTCTGTGTTACTCTATCAGCTGTTTAATGTTTTTCAAGTAGGGACAGTTTAAACTGCTTGATGCGTAGTGGCAGAGCTGAGATTTTGAAAATATTTCTTCAGGTTGGAGATGTACTGTATGACTCGGCTGGGGTGGCTTCCTACTTGTCAACAGGGAACAATGTTTTTAGTTAGGCAGCTGTTTCATAATTAAGTTGGTTGTTCCTAAACGGTTTTTAACTGGTTGAGTGTAGCTTTTCCCTCATTTATTTGATGGTGTCTTCAACAGTGTTTTAGTTAATTTAGTTGTACATTTTAATATTGTTTTTATTTACATTTTACTGTGGTTAGCACCTTAATTGCCATTTTCACTGCAATGTCAACATATAACCATAATAAGCAAATAAAGGCAAATAACTACCCTGGTAAATACAGTAATAGTGAAATTATTTCTTGTACGCCAGTGCATGCATGAACATACACCTGATGCAAAATAGCTACATCTGCCCACTATTGAGCAATTAATCGTGTCTCTGATTGTATTGGACTATAAGTAATGTAATGCAATAATGTTTGGGTTTTGAGCTGAGCACCAGGAGAAGTCCTTTTGAATTAAAAAAAAACTATATACACCTGGATAGTGGTGTGAAGGAGGCTTTGCCATATGCTGAGTCTCTTGCATTTCCTGGAGCTGTTTTCTATGCATTGTAACAGACAGCTAGGTCTAACATCAAACAGTCAGCCTTTCTAGCAATTGATTCTGCAATTATATCAGAGTGCTCTATGCCCAGTACCTTGTCATATTTGCTCTTTCAGTTTCCAGACTACCTGCCCTGCTCAGTCTGCTTGCAGCCAGCACCCCGTGATGTTGGGAAGGTAAGAACTGAGAGAATGGGGTTTGATACCTTTATGAAGAAAGTAAATATCCAAGGCTTAGATTAGTATCTGCTGATTTGAGAAATACATACGGACCCTATCAACACAGAGAACAAAATTCCATATCGCATGAGAGAATTGCATTGCATTGCATCCATTGCATGAGAGAATTGTCATCTATCTTAGCTAAGATATTAACTTCCATAAAAGTATTGTAAAAATAATAATAATGTGCAGCCATGGAAGAGGCCATGAAACATGAAAGTCAGTGTACACAATATTTAAGTAAATGTTTCTGGGAGAGATAGTACCTAATCTCATTATTTTGCCAAACAGTGAAGTGACCGTCTCTTGGAGGAATGGGGAGTCTCCGACTTTGATAGGGCCAAACTCAAACCAGCTAAAAATCTGAGTTACTCCATTTTTGTAGGTTTTCCCCACCAAAAAGGAATATAGGGAAGTCTGTAAAAATCTTATAAAAATTTCTGTGCTTCTAAGATTATACGATGTTGCTAAAATATATGTTCTGGGAACATAGATGTGAAGACACTTGGGAAGTATATCTGGGGGTAAAGGCTCAGTCATTTGTGGCAAATGCTAAGATCTCATACATGGCATGTACCACCATTTTTGATGCACATGAAAAATATCTTAGGTTAGATAATGGGATGATTATATATGCAACCAAACCAAGAAGTGATGCTGCCCCATGTTTCAAAAGCTGAACTGGCGTTATGGATTGTATCTGCAATTGATTGTATTTTGTATTTATTTTGTCTGTTTTTGAAAAGGGCAGCTCCTTAGCAGAGGCCTGTGCTGGGAAGCCTTACAAATCCTTAATCAAGGAAGGCCTTCTGAACAAGCCTTACACTTCTTGGGCGCTGCCTCCAACACATGGGGAAAGCAGTCTCTGTCCTACTCTTTGGTCCCTGGCACTTGCTATTTGCAAAGACAATTGTGATTTTCAATAATCAGTTACTGTTTCCTAGCATCATCCCTTTGAGGTGGGCTACTGCCTCCTCTGTCTTCCTCCTTATTTTTTGTTGTTGTTTTCAAAGAGGAGAGGAGAATAGAAAGGTTAGGATGAACAAAAAGGGAAATGGCACTGTGATTTTTCAGTAATCAATTACTGTTCCCTAGCAACATCTGTCTGAGGTGGGCTACTGCCTCCTCTGTCTTCTTCCTTATTTTTTGTTGTTTTCAAAGAGGAGAGGAGGATAGAGAGGTTAGGATGAACAAAAAGGGAAATGGCAGGAAGAAAAAGATGGAAAACCTACAGAGATTAAAAGCTGGTATTCACAGGAAAGAAAATATTAAGGACTAAATTCTGATGCAACTTAGAGCAGATGCTGTGAGTGAATGGGACTTTAAAAACCAGCACTCTCTGAAATCCCTTGAGTTCAACAGGTCAGCTCTAGGAGAGAGTGGCAATTGAGTTTAGGCCTCAAAATGGATCCAGCGCTCATAGCTGGAGGTTAAAGGTGAATTCAGAGTCTTTAAAGTAGAAGACTGCTATTGTACAAAGCCATGGGAGATAAGGAATGATGGTATTGCTTAGTGCTTCGGTCCAATATTTGCTAGGCTTCTGCCCTTCTCAAACTACTGGCAAAATGAGGGTCATCAAGCAGAAGTTCCTAGTAAAGTACAGTATAAGATTAGAAAGCAAAATTAACACATGTATTTTAAAATATAGACAATCTCTTCCAGTTTAAGGAGACCTACTGAGGTCAAATTAGACAAGACACTATGCTTCACAATTAGACATGATAAGAAATAGTTTCCCTCCGAAGGCATTATCCTTCAAAGCCATGTGCATATCCAGCTTACAGATCAACTCTGTCTTTATGCGTCAGTGACTAATCCCAAGGCAAAAGCAGCCTATTTTTCAAACAGTAAACAAACAAAATTGTCCTCTTGAGGGAGCCCCAGTGACAGGCTACCTGTAAAATAAGTTTTGATTCTCTGAAATTTTCGCATATGGTGTAGTATAAGATTAAAAAGCAAAATTAACACATGTATTTTGAAACATAGACAATCTCTTCCAGTTTAAGGAGACCTACTGAGGTCAAATTAGACAAGACACTATGCTTCACAATTAGACATGATAAGAAATAGTTTCCCTCCGAAGGCATTATCCTTCAAAGCCATGTGCATATCCAGCTTACAGATCAACTCTGTCTTTATGCGTCAGTGACTAATCCCAAGGCAAAAGCAGCCTATTTTTCAAACAGTAAACAAACAAAATTGTTCTCTTGAGGGAGCCCCAGTGACAGGCTACCTGTAAAATAAGTTTTGATTCTCTGAAATTTTCGCATATGTTTGTAGAGAAAAGAGGAGTACGGTATTTCTAAAATGAAAGTATGTCTTGAATGCTTGCTCTGCAAACATCTGGGCATATAGGTGACACGTGGCATGTTCAGATTGTTTTATTTCATGTAGACACAGTGCTTTGTACATCCACCAATAGCAACCAATGAGGTTATTTGGGCCTTCTCATTGCTATATTTTCCTTGCAGTGCTGTGGGGTGGATTTTGAAGTCAAAGCTTTCTCTGCAGAAGATCCAGAAGAGACAGTTCTCAAGAGGTAACATTTTGTTTGCTGGGAAACAGCACTGGGCTAGAAACAAGTGCCCTTTTCTGTAGCTTTTCAAGATGCTGCAAATAGAACTGTGTAAGAATAAATTGTTGCACAGTTATGAATTTCTGGTCTGCAAACATCTGGGCATATAGGTGACACGTGGCATGTTCAGATTGTTTTATTTCATGTAGACACAGTGCTTTGTACATCCACCAATAGCAACCAATGAGGTTATTTGGGCCTTCTCATTGCTGTATTTTCCTTGCAGTGCTGTGGGGTGGATTTTGAAGTCAAAGCTTTCTCTTCTCTGCAGACAGAAGAGACAGTACTCAAGAGGTAACATTTTGTTTGTTGGGAAACAGCACTGAAACAAGTGCCCTTTTCTGTAGCTTTTCAAGATGCTGCAAATAGAACTGTGTAAGAATAAATTGTTGCACAGTTATGAATTTCTGGTTAAATGGCTTTCTACTACACAGTAGAAGAACAGAGACCCACACAGGAGAATAGCTACAAGTTCCGCAGTCCACTTCTTTCTCATTAACAGGCACTTAAGAGTGTCAGTAGCTCACTTCAAGACATTGTAGGAGATAGAATAAAAACATTTTTACTTACAGATGCTTGAAATTACAAACGTGTGTATGTTTTGTTTCTGAATAAGTAATTAACAACTAATGAACAGATCAACAGCAAACAACTGACACCAACCAGAGAAAGAGAGGGAAAGAACGCTCAGTAGATTGGGGTTCTCTTTGAATTCAAAGGTTGGAAAAAATGACTGGTTAGTGCTGGATAGTTAGACAAGTCACCCCAGCCCAGAAAGGTCCCTCTGAGTCACTCAAACCAGCATGCAAATTTGCAAAGAAAACTCTAACATAAATAAATATTGTATAGTTATTTTAAAAAGATTAAATGAGAGAAAAGTAGTTAATGCAATGCAATGCGTTCTATTATAGAGAGGCTTCTTGACCCACCCCTGCTGGCTGTTTCTTTGCACAGCAGCCAATCTGTTTTCTGCTGTTTAGGAATTCTGTACGCCTGCTGATCCGCAAAATCCAGCATGCCCCAGAGGTGTCAGGACCCCAGCCTCTTGGAAAAAAGGTTAGTGCTGGATAGTTAGACAAGTCACCCCAGCCCAGAAAGGTCCCTCTGAGTCACTCAAACCAGCATGCAAATTTGCAAAGAAAACTCTAACATAAATAAATATTGTATAGTTATTTTAAAAAGATTAAATGAGAGAAAAGTAGTTAATGCAATGCAATGCGTTATATTATAGAGAGGCTTCTTGACCCACCGCTGCTGGCTGTTTCTTTGCACAGCAGCCAATCTGTTTTCTGCTGTTTAGGAATTCTGTACGCCTGCTGATCCGCAAAATCCAGCATGCCCCAGAGGTGTCAGGACCCCAGCCTCATGCAGAGTCTACCTGGCAGTTTTTTCTGTCAAAGAGGCCCTTGCAACTGAAAGCAAGCCTCAGCAAAGAGGTGAGATGTTCCTGCTTTGGGGCTTCAAAGCTCTAATTAAAATGTCTTTTTTATTCTCCCTTTAAGATCTTTGTAACTTCATTATATAATGACTGCAATCAGTGCATAGTTATTATAGATAAGTGGTTTCCATACTATTATCCCCCTAAGAATGAATTAGGTTTCTTCTTCTTCTAGGTAACCTCTTTGTTATAGTGATTATTCAGTGCTGCTGCCATTCTGTGTTTCAGCCCTGTGGCCTTCTGAAAATTTGTAGTGGTTTCCTTGTGCCTTCCATCCAAGGGGACAATGTAGAGCACTGGTTCTTAACCTTTGTTACTCAGATGTTTTTGGACTGCAACTCCCAGAAGCCTTCACCATCAGCTCTGCTGGCTGAGGTTTCTGGGAGTTGCAGTTCAAAAACACCTGAGTAACAAAGGTTAAGAACCACTGATGTAGAGGAGTGATTATGGGGTGGCGCTTGGCAAGACTAGCTTTTGTTGGAACACCTCTGAGTTTCTTGGAGGAAGACCTTGAGCAGCACATCAGCATCCTAAGGGAACATGTAGGGTGCAAGACCTGCAACAACACCCTTTTTGAGTAGGTATGGTTTCCTTAGAAACCCAACTAGTACTGCTTGAGAGAACGTGGTTTGCTGTGTATAATTAGTCTAAGGTGTTGCTCTTTGTTTTGTTTATTGACACAGTGGCTTAAAACTTGCTTACCTTCTGTGTCCAGTAAATACAGACTTTATTTTCCCAGCATTGATGTCATTGTGTTCCTATGTTTCAAAAGGCGGAGAACTTTTTTTAAAAAAGGAGGGGAAAAACAATTTTGGTGGACGTTAAGGTGGAATATGGATACTTGTGGTGAACATTCAGGTACAAGACCTGTACATCAATGTGCCCGTGTTGGAAGGCAGAGTTGGTTCGTTGTCTGGATTTTTATGGTTCAACTGCAACTTTTCCCTTAGAAGTTTTTTCTGAGAATTTTGTTCCCTTTGCCTCCTATTCAAAGGCTTCAAAATCAGTTGTGATAGTGATATGTACTAGGGGAAGCATGTAGCCTTAGATTGTGACTACAGGGTCAAGTACGGTGAGATGCACCCTGTTTATAAAATGGGTGAATTCTAAGTATATTTTACTGTCTGCATAACATACATGGCTGATTCGACTCTTTCCAGCCTTTTTGCTCCCCAAGTGGCTACCCCCCCCCCGCTTCTGGAGGGCTTCTAGTTTTTCGTGCCCAGAGGATCTGAGTGAGTTTTTTCTCCTGCACATGTTATTGTAAAGACAGGAATGTGTCTATAGGTGGTGTTTCCAGTTATGTAAGCAGTTGGGGTGTCACAATAAAGGAAAACAGCCAGAACTTTGAAATGCATGCACACACACACAAACACAACACATTCAGATTCCCCCCCCTTCCCCGTATCCCATGTGCTTTGTACCTTTGGAAGTTTAGATGGAAAGATTGTCGAGAGAGCCAAGGCACTAAGCCTGCAAGTAGGGAGAAGAAGGAGGGAATCACAATGTGTGTGCATGCACACACATTTCAAAGCCCTGGCTTTTTTCCCTTATGGGACATTTTCTAACATTTTTGGAAACATGCACATATGCATGCACACACATGCCACAAAAGATTTCCACCCCCATCCCATAATTCACTTCAGGATAGGTCAGTAAAAGAATAATCACCACCTCCCCTCATTTTCCTGGTTTTAGTTTCCTCACACAAAACCATAAAAGGATCGCAGAGGTGAGACCGAAGGGAGGGAGGGAGGGAGGGAAGGAAGGAAGGAAGTGAATAGTGAACTCTCAAAGCGGTCCTCAGCCCCCTGTGTGAGCTTTGATTGCGATTTCAGACATAATACAGGCTACGCATCAAATTGCAGGAAAGCCAAATTGTTCTGGTTCACCTCTCCAATGTAGTCACAGCCTTACTGACAAAGCAAAGCCTTCCAGTGACTTTCAAGAGTTAGGGAGAATCCCAGTTGCTCTGCTCTGGCCTGCAAAGGGTAATGATACAACTGTACAGAAATAAAGTTGTTACATGTAGATTCAGTTACTCTTCCTGCTAATCTTGATTGTTCCAGGTGTTTTACCACGGTGAGGCAATCCCTGTCACAGTGACTGTGATTAACAATACTGAAAAAGTGGTTAAGAAGATCAGTGTATCAGGTAGGATGCTGGTTTTGTCCATAAATCGATAAGACTTTAAAAAAAAAAAAAACTCAGCAATGAGGCAGAATCACACCTTAAGGACTGCAGTAGAGAGCAGTAGTGGAGGGTTTGGGATAATCCAGTGTTCATTATGTAGAAGGACCCGCCCTCACATTTACAAGAACTGATACTGTCTTAGGAGCATGCTATCAGCATTCTGTGAAAGAAAGAAAAATCCATAATGTTATACATGAGACTACAAAGTGAAAGGAGAAACTGGGGCACAGTGGACAGTGACAATTGCACACCTCCATCTGTTTGTTCAGAGGAAACAGCCAATTGATTCTTTTTATTCTCTCCGTGCCCATTAGAAGCGCTCTACGAATTTTCTGTTACTTACTTACCCAATAATCTTCTATCTCATTTTCGCTACAGTGGAGCAGGTTGCCAACGTGGTATTGTACTGTAGTGATTTCTACACCAAGACTGTGGCTCTGGAAGAAGTAGAGTGAGTCTGCCATGCTTCGTTCTCCCTTGCTCTATTAGTTTTTTCCTATTACACTCTTTAAATTTACTACCTGTCCAATAGACTGACCCAATCCGTTTAGATGCCTGTCGTAAAGGTAATGATAATGTCTCTCTTCCATGTTTCAGATAAACAACCCCATTGACACTGGTGTCAGAACACCTTTGGGTCAAACAAGATATAATGGGAAATGCATATTTCCTGCCTTTAGCTCAATTTTCTTCCCAAAATGCAATTCCTCTGAGATATGTGTGTCAGCAATTAGACATGCAAATTAAGCCTGTGTTTACCTTCAGATTATCAGTCATAAAACAAACCATGCTGGAATGTAAGACACTAAGCTGGGGAAATCATGTGATGTGTTTGACAAATGGACATATTTCTCTACCTGAGGAAACACTGCTTCTAAATACACATTAAGCATATCTCGTCCAGATCTTGCTGAAGTGGGTAGGAAAATGAGTGGTCAAAATGTTTTGTAACAGATTGGAATTAAAACATCCCCTTTCCCCTCGCTGTCTGCACTGCAGGGAAAAGATACAAACAAACAGCATTGTCACGAAGACAATAACAGTTCTGCCCTTGCTGGCAAATAATCGAGTGAAACGGGGCATAGCACTGGATGGAAAGCTAAAGGATGAAGACACTAATTTGGCTTCCAGTACTATGTAAGTCCAAAACAGAGGAGTCACCCAATTGTCACAGAAAGTTCATGTTTTATTTTCTTAGGTTAAGCAATAAATGTCTGGTGCATTTAGTGCTTGATTATATCATGAAATTGTCCATGGTTGATTCGAAGTTTTTTATACCAAGCCCCTGGCAGTTTCCATTGCTGAAATTGTGGTTGCCATTCACATGGCAGTGTTTAATTAACCTGGGAAGGTGTGTTGGAAGTATCCACACTGTAATGTACCTCTAAAATTGCTAAAATTTTCAGCTGGGTCACAGCCTCCCATCTTCCTCGTGGCCCTCTTCCCCACCCCTTCCCTCCCCTTCATATGTGTTCCCCTTCTATCACTGTGATCCCCCCAGCATTTAAAACAAAATTACACTTGATATAGCTTTAACCTGAAATGACATGTTATTAGCTTAATACAGTACTTCACAACCTAGGGCCCCCAGATGTTCTTGGACTGCTTCACAACCTAGGGCCCTCAGATGTTCTTGGACTACAATTCTCAGAAATCCTGGCCAGCACAGTTAGTGTTGAAGACTTCTGGGAATTTTTATCCAAGAACATCTGGTGACCCAAGGTTGGGAACCAGTGACCTGATACAAAGCAAAACTTCCCGCTTTAAATGTCTTGGTGAAATGTAGGCAGGGGATCAGGAGGAGAAGGAAATTCTTTGATTTGCAAATTGTACCCATCCATTTAAAAAGAGGCAGGCATATAGAAAAATCAAAGAGAAGAACCCTTACCCTCCCATGACAACCCTTACCTACTATTTTATAATTTTTATTGACTGTGCCTAGTCTTTAAAACAACAACACAAGTGGCAAACCTTTTGGGCTACACAAAATGCAACAAGTACCACACAAGTGGCAACCTTTTTGGGCTACACAAAATGCAACAAGTACCCATCAAAAAAGGCCAAAGCTGAGTTGTACATCATGTAGTTGATTAAAAATATTTTGAATTTAACAGTGACAAAACCAGCGCAATCAGCAGGGCAAATTGCAATGTAGTTAGCCTTCACTTGAACTTGCACTACTTTGGTCACATTCTTTTGTGGTAGCTGTTTTTTTTATGCCTCTGCATTCCTAAAGAAGGAATTCCTAGACAGGAAATCTTTCAAATGGGAGAATATCAGCTGCAGGGAGGAATATGGAAATAGGCAGCATTGATCAGTGTGGCTGTACCAGGAACACTACAAATCTTATTGACAGTAATACTGATAGTTGTATGTCATGATCCTATTTTTCTTGTGCCCACTAACAGTATCAAAGACGGAACAGATAAGACTGTTCTGGGGATCCTAGTTGCCTACAAGATAAAGGTGAAGCTCACTATCTCTGGGTAAGAGCAATGGCATCAGTGGTATCTGCACTAATGTACTTTTGTTGTGCATAGTTTTGTCTAGTCCTCTAGTGGTTAGACCATATTAGAAGAAAGTGAAAACACAACTTCTTTATCCTTGGGAAATGTCAGAACTGCACAACCATTTCTAAAGAACTGTCCCATATTTACTAATTTAAAACATCATATTTGGTGTTTGAATGCTTGCCTGAGTAGTCTTCCTTAAAGCAAATAGATCTTGCAACCAAATATTTTTAAAAATTGGAGTGGGTTTGTGTGTGAAGGCTGGTGGGCAAGGATGAACAATTTAGTTTGCTGAACTGCATTTGCTAGGAAATGTGACAGTGTCTTAGGAATATCTGCTTTGGAATACCATAAGCTTTTATTTTGCATTTTGTTTATAACCTTAGCTTGCTAGGAGATTTCATCAACAGGTAAAATCTATGAAAATTTCTCTGTAAAATTTGCAGGGGGATGTTTTGTGGGGGTTTTTTTTGTTTGGTTTTGTTTGTTTAATTGTTTGTTTGCTTTCCTGCAATATCCCCTTAGGCTTGATTTGAAAATAGCACTTGCCACCCTCCTAGTTAGGATGCTGCATTCACTACTGCAAGAAGCTTTAATATGTCCAATATTTTCCAAGTGTGAGGCAAATATCCTGACAGATGAAGGGAGCATTTTCCCCTTAAACTCAAGTGCCAACTTGGTGTTTTCCAGCTGGAATTTCCCCCTGGAATTATCCTTTGTTTACGTTCTTTTTATGGAACATTCAAATAATGTTTCCAGATTCTTGACTTCCAGTGCTTTTTATGTTCTCTTATCTATTTTTATAACTAATTTGTGGTATATGTTTGTGTATTTTCCTAACAAACACATTTGCAACCCTGCCTGTCCAGTGAGGGCAAAATGTTGTATGGACATTTGAAGGCAGTGGTTCTGCTAGATAACTTATGATTAAGCATGGATGTAAGAGATCAAAACAAAACAATTTAAAGAGAACATTTCACATTGATTTCTGTAGAAGACACCATCAGTAAATGCCCAGAAGCAAAACTCATTTCAGCCATTCCAATAGTAGATTTTTACTAGTTCAGTTGCATGACAAATATGCGATGGATTGCAAAATGCAGCAGTTGTCCATTTTAGGTGAGCCTCGTGGCGCAGTGGTTAAAACGCTGTACTGCAGCTAAAACTGTGCTCACGACCTGGGGTTCAAATCCCAGGTAGCCGGCTCAAGGTTGACTCAGCCTTCCATCCTTCCGAGGTCGGTAAAATGAGTACCCAGCTTGCTGGGGGGGCAATGTGTAGCCTGTATAATTAAAAATTGTAAACCGCCCGGAGAGTGCTTGTAGCGCTATATAAGTCCAAAAACATAAAAATAAATAAATAAATTTAACTTGGATTGCTGGGTGAACTGGGTATACTTTTACGGAAAAAGCACCCACAAAGTGTGCCATCCCCTAGCGCTTAAAGCACTCTCTGGATGGTTTACAATTGTGCAAGCCTCACTTTGCCCCAAACAAGTTGGGTACTCAATTTACTTACCTTGAAAGTTTGGAAGGCTGAGTCAGCCTTGAGCCGGCTACCTGGGATTGAACCCAAGTTATGAGCAGAGTTTTGGCTGCAATACTGCAGTTTAACCACTGTGCCACAAGGCTCTTCATTTTTATGCTGCTTTTTTATTTTGAAAATATTTTATATTTCAAATTTGGTTTTGTAGGGTTATTTGGTCAGCTGTTTTTGAAAAGTTCTTTCAAGACAATATAAATTACTACACTAAATGTTTTCCATTTTCCAAAGCGAGGTGAGCATGGAACTGCCATTCCGTCTCATGCACCCCAAACCAGTTGATATCAGTACAGCAGGTTAGTACTGGTATGCTCTATGTACTTCACATGTTCTTTGCTCGTACTACTGTTGTTGCATGTAATGTCTTCAGTATATGCTTCAAATTCTGTGCAGTCTCAGAAAATGGCATGTATTTGTGTTTATAACCATCCAGCACTTTCTCCACATGGCGTGATTCGTCACTTTCATTTGAAAAGGTGCTCTCCCAAGTGGTAGAGGACAGTTGCTTGTCATAGCACATGGTTTTCTTCACCTACCTTGATGTGGTTGGTTTTGTGACTTCTTGATAGAAGGTAAACATGGACATAATTAGCAAGTGTGAACCTTGGAACATGAGTAATTCATATGTTGCAAAGAGGAGAATTCCTAAACAGAGGGTAAGGGAAGCATGCACCATGTCTCTGCAGTGCACCCTTGTGCTGCTGGCAGATGTGATCATGCACAGCCATTAGCAAGAGAAACTGGACAGAGAAAGCAAAGTTCTTTCCAAGCTCAACTAGCTTGGGTGTTCTATCCAAGCTCAACTAGATTGGACCCTGAACATTTATTTAGAGCTATTTGATTCTTGCTCCATGTTTTGGTAGTACAATGAACTGTAGGTTGTCAATCTCTTTCTCTTAAAGCAGAGATGGGATATATATGGCCCACCAGAAGTTACCAGATTGGAGTTTCCAACATCCCTCACCGCTGGCAATGCCAGCTGTGGCTGACTGGAGGAGCAGTCCAGCAGCATCTGGAAGACCAAATATTTATCACCTTGGCTTAATGTCATATTTGAACTCCAACTACAAACAGCAGTTCTGGTTTTCCTTATGTGCTCTGCTACAACTTCTGTCATTAAAACATGGGTGGATTCACACAGTGCAGCCCACATTGGTGTACCTTGACCAGTTAGTTCCATTTGCCTCGCTCTTTAGTTTGTTTATCATACTAGCTGAATATGTGTGCTTTGCCTTCTCTGGTTTGTTTCTGTCCCAACAGACTAGAGGAGGAAAGGTCTTTTGTTTGTTTGGAATGAAACAAATGGGGGGGGGGGGGGGGGCAGGGTTCACTTTTTTTTTTGAATGAAACAAATGGGGGGGAGGAGAGTGGCAGGATTCACTTTATCTCTTTTTTTACATATACAGACATACTTCTGCTCCTGCTTTAAGTCGGGTAAACCAGTATTCTCATTGTATCCTAGCTTACTGTGAAATGGGCATAGTAACATTTCTGGTCTCTTAAAAACTCAGATGTGAAATGTTCAAAGTGACTACATCTTAAGCACTTTAGAAGCTAAATTAAGTTGAATTCCTATACAGGGCATCATCCCACTGCACACAACAGGACTTACATCTTAGGAGGCATGTATCAGATTGCTGCCTCAGACACTATAAATGAAGTGCAGTAGTGTGAGGAAATGCAGTCTGATTAATTTCCTTAACTTTTTGTAACTCTGATGTGTTGGTGCAATGAGTTTTGCAAGACCAGTTCTCAATCTGCTGCACATTTGCTAGTAAAACTGATGTTTCCTGAAATTTCATTAGAAAGAGTTAAACTTCCTTCGGCTACAAGTCTGTATGTTCTTAATGGTGGCGGTTTCATGTCAGTCTTTCACTTCAGGACACAGAGAAGCACAGATGGCTATCTCTTCCTTCCACATTTTATGCATAGCCCGGGGGAACTAAGGGCTGCAACCTCACTGTCAGGTTACATGTGTTGAACAAATGCACATTTTTCTCAGAACTTGGAAATATTAATTTTTTGTTACAATTATTGGGAAACGTCTTGGTACTATAACACTTTCCGTGGCCCCCACAAAAAATGTAATAAGCTTTGCATTTAATTGAATAGGTATAGGGCACTGTGACATATTCTGTAGCTTCTATAGATCTCCTTTTAATGGATTTTAAAATGTTTGTTGAAAACCTTTAAAGAAACATTCCCTTTCTGGTGTTAAAGCATTAATTACAGAGAACAATTACTAAGGCTGTTGAGCTGTGCCAAATAAAGTACTGTACCTTGCCTGGAGGGAAGCTATTTCTCTTTACATTAACACATATAAAATCTATACAGTATATTCAAGGCTTTGTACCAGCATCTTGTTAATGTCACAACCACTGACAATGAAAAACTATTGTTCGTACATTTGCCACTGCCTGGGCACACACAGACCTCCATGTGCTTATAAAAAGGTGACACCACATTTCTGTAAAGGCCCTGCACTTGCAATCTGAGCAGCAGTGTGGACTTAAAGAAATGAGCCAGGTCTTTATTTTCTGGGCACAGAGATGATGGGTGGAGAGAATACTCATATTTAATGTATGTTAGGATGCCTTTGAAATCGCAGAAAATGCACCAGTTTAAAACTATGAAATAAAGTAGCATAATGTTAACTAGAACATTCTTTTTTCTTTCGCAATAGCAAGCTGTTGAAATGGCTGCCAGAGAAAGACTACTCTGTCTCTAAACCACAGTGCTGTTGGCTTTAAACACTTTATTAGGACACAACTCTAGATTCAAGCAATGGAGTGGTTGCAACAGCCTTGTTAATTGGGGCCTTTAGCAGCATCCCTCTCCAAGGTGTAGGCTCTGCCAGATGGTGAAATGTACTTAAGCTGAGCCAATACCAAATGTCAGCTTTTGACCTTTTGAATACAAACTACTGAATAAAACACACACACACACACCCAAAAAAGCCAAGCTGAGCTACAGTTCTGCTTATTTCTTCACTTGGCCTGGCAGTACATTTTGGCTACATAAAACCCAAAGTATATTCCTGCTATGTTCAGATTCATAGTTAAAGGAATGCAGGAACGGGTGATACCTTTATATTAGACCATTAAGAAAATAAAACAAAAGGAAGTCTGCAATCCAGAGCAGAAATGATTATTTTTTGTTGAGCCAGCAAGCAGCCATGGAGTCGTGATTTTGAAAGTATAGGTGCACTGCTCGCCATGACAATACCCATGGCTAATCTTGCCCCTATAAAGGGAATCCAAAAATGCAGGCAGCTGCTTGGACCATTTTTTTAAAGGGGGGCGGAGACATTTGTACATTTAATGACTCCTGACTGTTTATTCAAGGGCAAAACACCCTGGATTACTTTGCATCGCAAGAGGGTCAGCTCCCAACAATATACTTTTCTGGGTAGACGCCATCCCAGCACCCTTGAGGATTGCATCTAAGCTGAGAAGGGAACAGGGAGGCCTGATTGGTGTGGCTGGAGTATGTACTGCTCAGAAAGCCATAGATCTTTCTTTCAGTCTACACATTCTGGCTCTACTACATCATTGCCAACAAAAGTCTTTCTGATCAGAGCGGAAAGATTTATTTGCTTTGGCTTCTCAAGTTATCAGATACCTGTCCAACAGCTGATGTTTTTCTCCATAGTTAGAGGTCTTTCACCTTCAGCAAGGTGTTCTTATTGCATTAATAATACTCTTAGCTTCAGAATCAAGGCTGTTTGTTCTGAAGTGTGTTTAAGGAAGTCTTTTCCTTTTTTTCCACCCTTTTCTACCGATACCTGTGATTACAGGAAAGGAAAGGTAAGAATTCTAAAATTATCTTTCTGGGGATACTCTGTCATGTCTTGTCTATGTGAAACATGCAATTCTTCTAAATCAGCTCCCGTAATGTTGTAGAAGGAAGGTGGTAGGATTTATTCTCAACTGGCTGTTGGCTTTTTGTAAGACATGCAAAAACTCAGTTATATTTCTCTGATTGATACAGCAGAATGAAATGTCATTGAGCGCAGTGGCGATTACTCCACTCCCAAGTGAATAGATGTAAAAGTTTATGCAGTCTTACCAGTTAGGCTTGATCAAGCCCCTTGGAATCAGTGAGTTCAGGTATGCCCAAGACTTCATTAGATCAAGCTATAAGGCTTCACATCCATGCAGTTACTCTACTATGGGAAAGGTAGAGAGATCATAGCCTGAACTAGATGAGACAGCACCTTTGTAATTAGAAATGGAGCTGCCTTAAGAAGTAAATGATGTTTAATTCTTCATATGATAATATGTAGAACACCTTGCATTTGTTTCGTCATTGATCTTCAGAATTAAAGCACAGGGTTCCCTTGAAGTCCGATGTCTTGAACATGAAATAGTGCCTGTGTAGTGTACTCTACAGTATTAAAGTGTTTTCATTTCCAATTATGTCTGTCTGTCAGTGCAATTAGACTGTGATATAGGATCACATAGAAAAGGTTTGCTTCACTGGGTGCAACCTCCTTTAAAGCAACACTTACATGTGCATACAATCTGGTCCTGAACTCCAAAAAAAGAGAGTTGTCTTGCCACTAGACCAAAAAGATCTGGATTGCACACAGCTGGGATGGCATGGGATTTCCTGCATGTTGTATAATTGCTAGAAAATAGTTCAAACAAGACCATGGCACAAACAATCCAAAACATGAGCTATGCTGCTGACTGATCGCACCCTATAATGTCTGTTTCTTCAGTGAATTCAAGTCTGAAGCAAGCTAGCTGACAGTTACTAAAATTACAGTGAGTAGAAGTATACAAACAGATAGCGTAAACGTGTGCTGCTAGTGGATGATCCTTTAACCTGCTGATCTTTGGATTAGGACTCTTTTGCAATGCCAAAATTCAGGAGTTTGTTGGCCATCTTAAAGGATTGTCTGGCTGGTGTCATTAGAAGCTACTTCAACTTGTCTCGTGTTCTTGAAGATCTCAGACTATAGCAGGATGATTCCTTTAACTAAGCCACACTACAAGAGAATGTACAGTGTGACACAGACAGGTTCATTTCACAATAAGCAAAAGGCAGGCACTAGCCTCAGGACCCCCTTGCTCCTACCTGCCATGCATCCTTTGCTCATGCAACTTTTCCCTAAGCAACAATTCATGCTGAACCAGTTGACTTTAAAAATCAGAATCCTATTGGTATTTGCAAAAAGTGTGCATAGCTTGCCATAGTGAATTGTGGCTAAATAATGAAGTGCCAGGTGCATCTCCCTTGTGCAGCTGGTGCTGGTGTGTACTTCAGTTGACCCAGCACCTCTCAATTAGCCATAGCAAATTATGCAACATGACATTAACCTCAGTAGGACTCTGGCTAATAAAATTAAATAAATGATGTGTTTTGTAATGAGGATTAAAAGTTATATTTTCTTGAGTCTGCATTTCTAGTTCATATTCTGCCCCGCATCAAACACAGCAGAGTACAAGTACTGCAAGAGATACTAAATTGTGGTTTTCAGTGTTACATGAAATGCTGTAAAGGAACTGTATCGGCCAGGAGACAAGACAGCTGCTTAAAGGTATTTTTACTTTTTCTTAGTGACCTCATGTTTCAGGAGTTTGCAAGTCAGCAACAGAAAGATGAGAACTCTGAAGAGGACAATAAGGCAGGATCTCCAAATGATGAATGAAAGAGAAAGGGGGGCTTGTCAAGATCAAAAGTGTTATAAGAATAATTGTATTAAAAGAGTATTGAAATAATTTGTATTGTATTAAACAAAGCATTGCAATGTGTTAATATGACCAGCAGGTGGCATTTGCAGAACTAGTAACTTGCAGTACCTCCTTTTTACTCTTCATTGATTTCTCAGAGCAATCCACTGGCCTAGCAAGTGTGAACCCCCATTAGTCAAAATAATGGTGTTTTTCATCATGGTGGCAATTTTCCAGATTCTGATTTACAGGAGTTTCATTTTCACATCCCAGTAAAAGCAACAGAATGTTGACAGTTGGTGGAGGAAATTAAGAGTATAAACGACAGCCAGAAAAGATAGCCGGAGCAAGGAACAAAGAATAACAGGGGAGTACCATTAGATAAGAGAAAAAATGCTGTGGGGTTTGTGAGAGATATATTTATTTATTTTTTTACTCTATGTTGATATGATTCTATAATTGCTTATGTTCTGGTATATTTATTACATAGTTGGTTAAGATACATATAAATGTGACTTCACTGAGTTAAATTTTTCCTGATTTAGTTAATACACTTTTGTAATACAGTAAGACAATCATATCTACGGGATCAGTACTTATCCACTACCTGAAAATATTATTTATTATTTATTTATTTGATTTATCCCCCGCCTATCTAGTCTACTCGACCACTCTAGGCGGCTTCCAGTATAGGATAAAACAATAAAACACAAGAACATTACATAATCATTTGATACAGTTACAATAAAATAGAGTGAGAATAAAATAAGAAGGAATAGAAAAGAAATCAGGTATTGACTGGAGGGAAGGCCTGGATGTACAACCATGTTTTTAATTGTGTTTTAAAGATTCCCAGCGTAGGGGCCGCATGAATCTCTGAAGGGAGGTTGTTCCAGAGGCGAGGAGCCACCGCTGAGAAGGCCCGGTTTCGTGTCTTTTCCTTCCGGGCCTCTCTCAGCATCAGGCTCCTCAGCCTCACCTCCTGACTTGCACGGGTGATCCGGGTAGACCTTGGTGGGAGCAGGCGTTCC